AGTCTTCTATTAAGCTCCAGAAAAAAAATGACCTGAACTGAAGAAAAAAAAGAACAAAAAGCAATTTATTCTATTTTTGAAGATGACTGACGAATATTAGTGTGTATTTCTATTCAGCATTATTGTCCATGGTGCAGCAGTGGAGTGTTATCCCCCCCCCCCCCCCACGGTGGAGCCCTGTTGCACCCTCGTGCCACACCGCTCAGAATTTGGGAGGGCAAAATTTAATGAGCTTTGTATTGTTAAAAACGCAACAAGTGCTCGGCCGCCAGAAAACGAGGCTCCCAACTGCCCCCTCCCCCTCGCAAATTGGACCCAATGCCACATGTGTTCAGTGGATTCTATACAACATAATACTGCTTTATAATGAATGTGTCTAAACACTGCTCAACTTTATTTAAATAATATGGACTCAGAAAGTTAAACGAATGTGATATTTGAAAAGGAAAGCCTATAACAGAAGAAACGACACGGATAGAACTTTAACAGAAACTTCAACCAAAAAAAATCCCTAAACTGATATAGGTATGGTGCGTGTATTGTATTTGAATCCAAATATGCTTGGAGTGTACTTAGATCGCATGTCGCGTGGACTGCACGCATCTTCAGACGTCCGGCGAGGCGCCCGGTCGCGTGAAGAACCCGTGGTCTTCGCGTGGCTGACGTGGTTGCAATGCGCCGGTACGGCCTACGGTCACCGTTAACCACCGGTTATACACTTGGCCACAGGACAAAAATGGCAAGGGAGTAATATTAATAAGGGCAATAAGTGCCTTATTACGATTGAAATTTATGCGATTTAATGGCCGCCCTTACAGAATGGAGCTCACAGTTTGTTAACAAAAGAAAGCTCCATTCGTGATTCCTCTGAATTAGGTTGAGATTATTTCAGTTTTACAGATTATTCCAAACTGCTTATATTGTGTTGTTGGTCGTGGAGCTCTGCAGACCATATAAGAATTAACAAAGTATACTGGTCATAAAAATTTAACAATTTTATTGAAGCGTTCCATAAAATTTAAACAGTGGCTCCGAATCGAGGAACCAATTTGAAGATTTTGTTTTGGGCATCAAGAAACACGCACAGCGTCGGCGTGGCACGCGTGGCGGCCATTTTGAAAACTTCAGCTTCAGAGCAGATCGTCAAGGTTAACGAGTTTGGAGACACGTAAACCGTCCACTCCCTTGTCATCAAGTTGACTAGAGAAGGAAAGAGAAACTTAACTCACCAGTGGCCCGCCAGATCACGCCAGATGGGCTGTTATTTCCGCCTCAATGCGAATTAAGTCAACTATGAATTTTCTCCAGGACATTAAATCGTCCAGCGGGGGTCGGGCTTTTGGCAACCGACGGCCGGGCGCGTGGTCCAGATCTCGGACACCATCAACCGCGTCCGTACTAAAAATAAAAGTCCTTCTTTCAAATAACACCCTTGGGATTATTGAGCGCTTTGAAAAGACCTGATTGGGGCTACTTAATGCCTAATGATATCCAGGCAATTTGGTATCTTTTTAAAGGTTTAGAGTGTTTATGGGTCCGTGGGGATTTGGGGGAGTCGCGTCCTCGCTTGGTTAAAAAAGTGAGGCCAACTTTATCAGCGCATGTTAGCGATCATGCAGGCTTAGGACAGCGACGATCTGCCACGCGCCCTGGCTCGTTTACGGAAATTACGACCGAAGCGCACGCCGGCGAGTATCGTAGGCAGACGCGCTGGCCCGAAACGCCTATATACGGGAGTACAACGGGACCAATTAAGCTAAGACAGATCGTCGTCCAATTCACAACCCAAATTGCAACATAATTGTAGTGCTACCTTTCAGATATGTACTTTCTCGCTCAGCTCACTTTCTTTATTATTATCAAAATTTCCAATTATATACATGGGGCTGCGCTTGGGGAGTTTTGGCCAGAAAACCCCATGGATCGTAACATTCCTGTTATTCATATTATTGAGAAATTTTGGTTCATTGCCCCTCATATTTTTGTATTCGGACGAACTTCTTCAGACCAATTTCACAGCCAGACCCTGAAACGAAAATACAGGGCGTGTCAAAAAAACCACCCAGATATCGGGACCACTGTTGACAGAACTTTAAAACGGCGGTTGTTTTTAAAACTCCGTAACTTAAAAAGTACATGAGTGGTTTGAATGATTCTTGTACTAAAAGAAAGCTTATGAATTGGGCTTTCATATCCTAGATTTGGAAAGTGCTACATGTAGAACTTCACTGAAACAATGGTCCCGACTTTTGGGTTTCGTTTTTTTTTACTCACCCTGTATTTATTTTGTTCCCCACAGGTTGAAAGTACAAGTTTCTTCGAGACCTTTTGAATTGCTGTGCTCAAACAAAGGATAACTGCATGTTAACTGTCTTCTTTTCAGAACCACACTTACTCATGGAAGAGATATTCTATGGTGTATCTGCTTAAAGGGCCTATGTAATGTAATTTGTTTAATACGATCCTTGAAAATGCACCTTTGTGTCCCATTTAACCAAATGTTCAATTTTCATTTTGCCATTTTAAGGGCATTTTGGTGCCTTTTTGTTTTGTTATGCTAATACGAATTTCCATATTCATGAGCAAAAATGCGATGTCATTAAAGGCAGAAACCTCAATGTTATACAGGTATTTTGGTACCAAATTTACCAAAAGTTTGGATATTTTTCTGTTGTAAGTTTTTTTTTTTTTTTTTCGTTGTTGTTTCAGAACATGACATTTAGAAAGTGAGCAACGTTTTATCACATATGTTTTCAGTTAGCAAATGTTGAATTGACAATTTGAACAGAAAACCCCTAAACTGAACAGTGTCTTCCTGAAATGACATCACAGCAACAGCGCCCTCATTTGTCAGTAAAAGCATGGACATTCTTTAAACGCTTAAAGAAGTGCACTTTTCAATACAATTAACCAAAAGGGATGTCGCATATTTTTCACACATTTAAGAGGAGTAGAAAATTGGAGCATTGGACAGACTCTAGCTGGTGAGCTCATTTCGTGTGACAGTCACGTACATGAATGTGTTTTTATGTTTGCTCATTCAGTCATGCACATAATATGTGGCAACATGTGCTCATCGATCGCAACATTCATGGCGCAGTTGCATGAATGCTGTCACTGATTTCAATGAATGAGAATGATTTGTTCAGTACAGGGTGAGGGAAAAAACGAAACCCAAATGTCGGAATCATCGTTTTAGTGAAGTTCTGCATGTAGCACTTTCAAAATCTAGGATATGAAAGCCCAATTCTTAAGCTTTCTTTTAGTACAACAATCATTCATATCACTTATGTACTTTTCAAGTTACAGAGTTTTAAACACAACCACCGTTTTAAGGTTCTGTCCACGGATCACAAAAAGTTCAGTGTTCTTTCAGCAAAACGAAAACAAATCACACAAGGATGTGTGCAAATTGTTTTCGTTTTGCTGAAAGAACGCACACCTTTTTTTGTGATCCGTGGACAGAACTTTAAAACGGCGGTTGTGTTTAGAACTCCGTAACTTGAAAAGTACATGAGTGATTTGAATGATTCTTGTACTAAAAGAAAGCTTATGAATTGGGCTTTCACATCCCAGATTTTAAAAGTGCTACATGCAGAACTTCATTAAAACAATGGTCCCGACATTTGGGTTTCGTTTTTTTTTTTACTCACCCTGTATACATAATATATGAGTTATTTGCATCGCAAAGATGATACAGTAACATTTCTTGAGCCGAAAATCAAATTGTATCATTGTATTTTAAATCAAAAAGTAATATGTCTTTTACAAATTGACATTGAGCTTGAAATAAAATTCACTTGGATGTACAACAAAAACAAAACCAATAGTTTATTGAAACAGCGATGGTTATTTTCAACACGGATGTAGCATACAGATATGTAATGTATCACTTGCGTTCTGACAGTCTAGAAGTATATATATCGACGCTTTTTGATAACGTGGACTGACATTAAAACTTAAATTTTTTAATCGATCGATACGTCGACTGCATTTCACAGCACGACCATTATTTCACCGTGGGATTTTCCTAGTGCCCCCGTACCCATAGCCCGCTTCTCCCCCTATATGCAACCCAACACCCTGCCACAATGATCCCCATTTAGGTTACTTTATAAAACATCACTTATTTACAGTGAATGCTCAAATTGTAATTTGACGGACAGCCTCCCTCCTTTTGGGGGGTTTGAAGGCAATCATAATGACCACACAAACACCGTAAGCGTGTAGGAACGGGCCTGAGTTGCCGTTCACACGGTAGTCGGGAACAATCGAGTCGACCGCAGCCCCGCAGTGATTGGCCGGCCGCGGACGAGAGCTCAACTTTCCCACGGTAGGCCGCAACGCGTGCTGGTCACACGCCAGTACTGTCGAACGGTTTCTAGTCACCCCTAAGAATGAACACCGCAACCAGTTGCGCGGTGTTGATCTATCCATGGTCCATGATCCATCGCTGAAGGTTTTTTTTAAGTCTGAATAAAATTGGGAATACAGTGTGGATATTGTAGGTCAATGTGTATATCGTCTTAATATTTCATGGTTGCACTTTCGTGCTTCCTTTGTGTGAAGAAAGTTATGATATTAATTTTTAAAACAGGCCTGTAAAACCTGTTACTTGTCAAAGTTTAGTAAAACGGCAAAAATACATCCTAATGCTCACGGATTTTTCAGTTTTCCTCTTTCCAGCGACTATATAGACACACAAATTATATTTAACGGTAAACAAAGCTGGTTTCAGCCTCAAGACAAGAAAAAGACAAATTCTATCTTTTTCTCTTCTTCTTTTTCTAGCTAAAACGTAAAACGGGAGAGTTGGGGGAATAGAAACTGCCAGGGGAATGACCGATGACGGCCTGGTGGCATTAGCCAATGGCATGTGCCGTCTGAAGGGGTAACGGTGACCGCGCGAGTGCCGCACGGTTGTCAATCACCAGACAATTGGTCCCGCTGGGTGTTGTGTAAAAAAAAAAAAAAAGTAGCGGTGTTTTTTCTTCTCTTTTTTTTTCTTTTAGGGGCGACCCTTCGCTAGTCGCATGGACTTTTTGAACGGGAGCGTGGGAACGGGTTGCCTCATTCTTGACTTACGACCGTTGCCGACAGGACGTGTTGTTGTTGGTCCAGTCTTCCTTGCTCCTGCGCCTGTTTCCCACCTTAGTCCAACGCTATCCATCTGTTGCTTGCTCGGACTTGGACAGCCACAAAGAATCAACAAGTCTCTTAATCCTCAGCAACAGTTTTCTCTCCTGAGTTTATCTACTTTTTTTTAATTGGGAAGAGACAAGCCAGCCAAGACATCATGAAGAGAACCCTGAGTGATTCTGATACTGACGAGATTTTCGATGATTCCATCAAGGGGTAAGTCTTGAAATTGTCTGTTACCTTACCCCCCCCCCCCTTTTTTTTAGCAAATGAAATTGACCCTTTTAAAATAAAAATGCGCTTCTTGTATAAATAAACTTTGTGACAGAACTGCCCTAGCTGTTTATGGAATGATTTGACGGCGTGGTCATAAATGTTCATGGTAACCGCGGAAGCATCAAAAAGCAATACTTCCAAAATTGAAATGGTGTTCGATTTATTTTGTACAGAAAACCTAACCATCTGTCAAACTTGATGAATAATTTGCAAAACTGACTTAGGTCATATTTGCTTAGTTGTTCTTACATTCTTGCTCGAATTCAACATGAAGTAATTAATCAGGAGCGAATTAAAAGTATTAGTTTTATCTCCTGTTAGTTAAGATCAGGTGATCTTGATCACGTGACTGACGGTCATTTCGGACCGCACGTTGTCCACATGCACATGTGGCAATATGTTAATACAATGTAACAGACTGTCGACTGTAATAAGTCCTGACATGTGTTATCCCTATTTTTCCCCAGGTCTCCTAGCCAATCATGCCCCGTGACGGCCCGCAAGAAGCGAAGAGGGGTGAGTGCTGTCGACTTTAATGTCGATCATTCTTGTCGGTCGTTAATGTCGATCATTATAATCATTATTGTCGACAAGTAATGTCGACAATTTGTTAATAGAGATCGTCTTTTTTCCAATGTCATTAAGTAACTTAAGAAAACATGTATTTAACTTTGGAAGCATTGTGTGTATCGCTGCTATTGTATTTGGAAATATGTGTAAAATTGAGCCCGGAATTAACGATGGACGTCATTTCGATAAGATGAGAGAGAAGCATAGTTCTTGCTTTGTTCAATACTTATTTAGACTGTTTGTTTCTCAGCTTCCAATAGCTTAGAAGATATTCATTGCTAAACTCAGCTGAGATGCTGCGAATATTGTCACAAGCGTTTTCACTGAGCAGTATGTTTGCCTTGCAAAAACTTCTGTTCTAAACATTTTCAGGGCAACTTAGCAATTCAACGAAAGCCTATCCTTCATTTTATCTAATGTATTAAAGTCTTATTGTCCAGTTGCTCTCAGTGGGAACGCAACGTTGCTTTTGCTTTGTTACTTTTGCTTATGTTACTTACGTTGCTTTTGTTACTATAAAGTAACTGAACAATATCAGAACTTATCGACAGAAAATATTCAGTAAAGTCGTACTTTGCAATCTGGAGTAGCGTCTTCAAATCTAAGTGGTTTGAGATTAATTTGATTTTACCACAATGCAATCGGAAACTCGTAGTTCGGAAGACAAAGGAATACATTTTATTATAATTTTGGATTTTTTTTTTAGATCATCGAGAAACGCCGACGGGATCGGATCAATAACAGCCTCACCGAACTCCGACGCCTGGTGCCGGCAGCATATGAAAAACAGGTAAAATTTAGCTTCAGTTTTCCCCCGTTTCACTAAACGGATCCTTTCAAATATTACACAAGTGTAAAATTCTCGGCATTATTTTCTTCTTGATTGTGAGACACATTCACCAAAACGTCCAGGAGATTTTTCACAATTAACAAAAACAGACAGGCTTCATGTATTGTTTTATTATATTGTTTTATTAAGTTAAAGTATAAAAAGCATCGATCTGACAAACAGAAACCAACCACCAACGTAAGACCGAAATAAATAAAAGAAAACACGCAATAAATAAAATAAACATCGGCATGCCATCTGCAAATATTTACACTGCGGTGCTTGGAGAGGCAACCCACCGAACACAAATGTTACTTTGTCATGGATAAATAATGCATATTTTTTTTACAAGTGGCTCTCATGCTGAACAATCAAATCGTGTGAACACGTCGACAAAAAAACACCAAAGCGCAAAGTGCCCCTGGCGCACGTCTCCTCCTTTAACACACTGTGTCTCTCTGTGTGTGTGAGTACGTGTCTCACGATTATTACCATTAACGGCTACCCCCCCCCCCCCTCCCCCCTCGTGCAATCACGGCTCGCATAGCCTTGTCCCCACGGCCCCCCGTCCCATTGTCCCCCCTCAATGATGGTTAAACGCCAACTAAATGGCCCCCAACACAATGCCCACTTCTCGACGGCTCATGAATTTTTCATGTGAGAGCGGGGCTCGGGGGAGTTTTCCACGGGTACGAGGCGAGCTGACGCACGGCCGAGGCCCCTGCTTGCAGTACCCACGGGGCCCAGAGCCCGGGGAAACAATGGCACCCCGGGCCGTCCGCGGGGAGGGGACAATGGACGCACTCTGGCAATTAATCACTCGAAGCTTTAATCACAAGAAAATGATTACAAAGTGGTTAACAGTAGGAGCTGCGGCGCGATCACAAGAAAAAAAAATCGTAATGTCGTGCTTCGTTGGGAACGTGCATTTATTATTTTCAAGAGCTCTCCCATTTAACCCAATTTGTAATTGGAAGAAATATATAAACAAATCAATATATTTTGCCAAACAAAGATATTTCAATAGCTTATTTGATTCACTGCAAAGTGAAATTTATCTAAACCCAAAAGGTATCTCACAATTATACATTAATGTCAAACAAAATATTAAAATAAATCTTCCCCGTATGTCCACAAACTGAATGACAATCACCACCTTTATTTCACATTAGCCTAACTGTGAAATATGCCCAATTTGGAATCAAGTAATCACGACCTGATTTTTTTCCTACTTATGTACAGGGCTCAGCCAAACTCGAGAAGGCGGAGATCCTGCAGATGACAGTGGACCATCTGAAGTATCTGCACGCCAAAGGTAAGCATGGTAAGAAAAACGTGACCAATTTTCGATTTTATCAGCTTAAAAACTGTTTAATTTAAACAAGTTTTACTTTCCTATACACGGACGCTGACAACTCACAAGTGAAGAATAAAGATATTCGAAAAGTTAATTGAGTATGTACCTCAAGAAAATTCTAATTTTTTGTCGGTTTTAGTTTCCAAACTTCCAATTTGGAGTCCTGTTGTCTGCAGATATTGTTGGATCTTTTAAAATCGAAGTGGAGGTTCGAAATCAGACCTGAGGTTTGGCGAGGTTCAGTGACGATGCCTGAGGTTTCATGAGGTAGCATAGAAACCTCACGGTTCATAAGTGTGAGGTTGCATTTTAGAATCCTTTTCGTTATCATGAAGAGAACAGTGACAACTTGTGTTTGGAAGCTTTGTTTTTGACTGAGGTTTTCGTTTTCTTGTTCTTCAGGTATCGATGGTTCCTTTCATCCGTACGGTGAGGCTCACGCCTACGCCATGGATTACCGTGTGCTTGGCTTCCGTGAGTGCGCCTCAGAGGTTGCACGCTACATGGTGACTGTGGAGGGAATGGACATCCAGGATCCGCTCCGCCTCCGCCTCATGAGCCACCTCCAATGCTACATGGCCCAGCGGGAGTTCCAATCCCGCCAGCACTACTCGGTCCCCGGCCACCCTCATTCGCAGTTCACCTCGCACGCTGCCGCCCACGGCCAGACGGGGATGCTACCTCACGGCCAGCAGCACGCCGTCACATCTGAACCCTCACACGGTACCTCAATCCCCTCCGGGGTCCAGCTCACGGACACCTCGGCCACCCCGGGCCGGCAGATGATCCCCATGATCACCAGCTCCAGCCAGGAGGCCTCCTCGCTGACCTCGTGCCACGCGAGGCTCCCAATGCCGCCCTCTACGGGCGCCTCGGTACCCATCAACTCGGTGTCTACCCAGATCTCGCCGCCGGTGGCGCCCATCCAAAGCCTCCACACGCAGTACCCTGGAGTGACGTATAACAGTCTGCCGGTCCTCTCCCCGAATGGATTCAGCCCAACTAGCTCCTCACACATGACCCACAGCACCCTCGTATCTAAACCCTATCGCCCATGGGGAGCAGAGATGGCGTACTAAACCCCCGATCTACACTCTGAACTCTGAACTTCGACCTCTGCTGGTAGTCTTCCTCGAGCTGTGACTTTGACCAAACAAATGTCACATGTCGTCTCATCTTCTGGGGAAAGTTTAACTTCTGCAACCGGACGAGGATAAAACCTTATGCCAGAGTTCACCTTTTAGAGTGCCTCTATAACACTAACAAATTTGAATATTCAAATTCAAATTTGCATATTCAAATTCAAATCTGCATGTGTGCTTTCTGTAATTTTAAAAGAAATACTATCTAACGAGTCCGCAATTTTTAATTTGTTGCCGTTGGCCCACCATACTTAAAGCAGTTCGCCTGTAATTCGTATGCAATAAGTAAACCAAATGAACAAGATCCGTTATTTCAATAATATTACAATTGTCGTTGCATTTTATAAAATGCGGTGCTCTTTTCACGATGTCCATAATTTTTATCATGTTTAACTTTGAAACTAATTTATAAGTAAACTTTTTTACCAAATACATACTGAACAAGTTTTGTATTGTTTTAGTTAAAATGTATAAAACTGACGTATGTAATTAACCATTTTAAAATGGTATGATTATATTAAAGAAAAAGTGTGCCTCTTCAACCAATCATATTGATGCAATTTGCTATGTTTCCTATTCTTACAAATATGATATTATGCATTAATTTATTTATTGATAACCCTTAATTTATTAAATTATTACATTCCACTGGGAGTCCAAATGCCTTAATTAATATTTTATCTGGATAAAGTGTCGTTGTATTTATTGCATTCACGCTTCCAAAAACTGATGAAGCTTTTCACTATTTCAGTACTGTTGTCATAGCAACGCGAAGGTATGCACTGGAATGCTTGTTATAAAGTTTGTGTGAATAATATTTTGTAACATTTTTCTGTAAATACGTTATTTATTTAAACGTTTTGATAAGTAAAAAGCAAAGGCCTCTTTCAAAAGACGGCAGTGTTAATTATACCAGCACAGATGTTCCTCAACTCACGATATTTAAAAAAGAAAGTAGGGTTACCATTCAAGGATGGATACCAGTCATCTCAAAGACAGTTTACTGTTGGTGAAATTCCGTATGTGTGTGGATTTTGATTCACGATTTAAAATAATCAGCAACTTAAAGAGCATTATAATGAAACTTACAAGAGGTCATTCCTTTACGAAAAGCCAGGGAAAACAAAGACAATGCTTCAGCCCACAAAGGTTTTAAACTGCAGATATAAATATTTGAGCATGTCACATATACATCGCACATTTCAAGACAGACAAAGTGATTCTTTTTGTTTTGTTAACTTTTTAATAAATGATCTTTTTATACATCGAAAACGCTGAAATGTAAGAATAAAAAGTTTGAAATGAAATGAATGCTACCACTCATCTTCGTGTTTTTCTTTCATATTTGTGTCTATACTGTAATTTAAAAGCAACGGAAAGATATAGAAGTATGTGTAGGTCTACCCCGTATCAATCGTTATTGAACCCAATGTTATGTGAAGGAAAGTATGAAATGAGTGCCAACATTTTGAGAGTTGATTTTTTTGTTAATATTTGACAGCAAATTTGACCACTACCAGCAAACGGTTGTTTTCAGAATTTTCAACAATAAAGATGAGCCTGAAAATTGCATGTGAAAACTAGAAAACACTCAGAGAGCGCAAACCTCCGCCAAGGCTCAACAATTCCTCGCCATATTGTCAGTGCAGTGAGTGCACCCAAAAGAAATACTCGCATAAATGATGAAGAATCCTTAAGAAAAAAATCCTGGACCCAGACCATGATCACTTCCAAAATCTAATCAATTTGTACCTGTACCAAGGACCAGCCCAAAAACATTTTTCATGCAAATCCGTCCAAAACTTTTTGAGTTATCTTGTTAAAAGACAAGCCAACCAACCAACCAACCAGCCAACAAAATCCGATGAAAACATAACCTTCTTTGAGGAGGTACAAACGCTGCAGAATAATTGGCACAAGATAGTCAAGCCTTGCGTTCCTTCCTCCATGGTCAAGCTTTCTAGATATGCAAACACATTAAACCCAGTGTGCAATTACACTACCTTGCAAATTGTCATCAAACCTAAAGTCAAACCCAACAACTCAAAGAGATCACAACTCCTGCACGAACTTTGTTTCAAGGGCACTTCAGAATTTTCCTTTCTTCCCAAAACTCTCACATTATAATTCAAACAATGTTTAGTTACCATAAGATGTATTGGTGTCAGTGCAAAAAAATACAGGCCAATTGATCATCCGAGTTCAGTGCCGGATTAGTTGTTCAGTTTAACGAAATGAATCCCACAGAGTTGCCGGCGCCCACAGACTCTTAGCCCCATTTCTCATGGTATTTCAAAGGCCCTGCTTTAAATTTCCTGACCCGTTCAGTCATCCTATCGTCCAGAGAATGCAAACAATACTGTCCTCCTTTGTTTATCCTGCCACAAAAATAGAAACCGAACAATAAAAGAAAAGACTCATTTCAGACGCGGAACACCCACTGGGCAAACTGTCCCAATTCCCAATTTCTCGAGATGATAGATTTCTGGTATATTTCCTTTCAAACTCGCAAAAGGGAACACTGTGACAATGGTCTTCCAACTGGGATGGCATGGATCTTTTGGGGAGATGAAAAAAAAATGGACAAGTTTATTTTTTTTGGGACGGTAACTGGCAACAACACGGACCGGAGGGCTGAATGGGACCGGTGCGCGTGGGGGGAGCGTGGGAACTTCACCGGGCCTTTTGTGGCGGGTCAACGGGGCAGAACGCGCCGTGGCGCGGCATGCCATCACGCCCTGGTGGGCTCACGCCAGGAAGGCAGTGTTGTTACCAACCACCGGGGGTCAGGGGAGACACCCCGGTGTGAGTGCGAGGGTTGATGGCACGGGCCCGGACTGTGGGAAACCACCTGCCGGGGATGTTGGGGTGTTGGGGGGGGGGGGGGGAGAGAGAGAGAGAGGAGTGGAGCGGAACAGCCAACCCAACCCAGTTCTCAATGCAGGAGGTGCGGTTGGTATTGTCTTTCCCCGAATCAATCAACTTCCTCTAGTGAAGGTCAGGCAAGCTTGACAAGATCAAGTCGGGCAAAAGGTTAGCGAGTATTCAACTGGTGGGAAGCTTTTCTCAGCGTAATCTGTCTTTTCAGAAGAGATTCGTGGGATTTCGACATTTACAATTTTGACCGATCATCTGCATTTATTAACAAAACCTATGGAGGAGTATATACAGCGATATGGTATCGTATAACGTCACTTCGTTTCAATGAACGGTTGCCATCAATACCCAGAATTAACGAGAATGTCATAAAGGAAAGTAAGTTCGCTCGTCCCCCCGCCCTGCAAACAGAGCGCTGGGCCGGGAAGGGCAGATGAGCTTCAAAGAATCTTGTGAAGGAAGTGGGGATGGCATTCTGGGTAATTTATCATGCCTTATGCATAAAGCATCTGGCTGCAGCTGTAGACCGCGGTTATCCAATGCGCGCAAATACTATCCGAAAAATTCGCCACAGAAATGTATACACACCATACCGGATGCGATTTCTTTTTAATTGCGGACCCATGTGGACACATTTTGAGCGTCGAATGATATGCATTTCGACCCTTCGTGAATTCGAAACGGAGCCTGAGCAACTGATGGGAGTTGAAAATTTACAAAACAGATAAGTTTTTTACGGATTTTCCTACATTATTATGCTTTTAAACCCAAAAAAGGCGCCGCATTTATGAATGTGAATAAAAGAGTGGTGAATGACTCCAGTCTTGACGGCCGTTTCAAACCTTGCAGGGTCGTGGTCGTGATGTCTTGCAGGTCACATGTCACGCAAAATCTATCCAATCAGAGCGTTAATTCGTCAGCCCTTCCCAGCGTCCTGTTTGCAGGACGGGGGTACGAGCGAAAGTTGTACGGAGTCGGTTTGACAAATTGGATTTCTTTTGTATCAACTCATTTTTCATTCTCAAAAACAAAATACTCTTTTTCTATTCTGAGCGTCTGTAACCCTCTGAAAAAAAGGCTATTCTCTTTAGAATGCTTTTGGCCAACGGACAGATCCAGACTAGTTCCCAGTCCATACTTTATCGATTTTAATAGGGGCGGGGAACCGGGGACCAGTTTACCCTGTGAGAACGACTTACAGTCGGCGGACCGTATTAACAAATAATTAGAAACTTGTGAAGTATTTTTGCCACAACTAAAGTGGGCCGATGTTTTCGTGTGATGCCTAAAAATGTGTCGGCTTATTAATAGAAATATGGGGGAATAAAACGAAATCCTTTTTTTTTATGGGCGTAGGTAGCGAAAATAGGATGAACGGTACATCGTTAAAGTAAAATACCTAGTCAGCTACAGTGCAAAAAAAAAAAAAAAAAAAAAAAAAAAGGATCCACACTCGTTACTGTTTGAAATGGTCGAAATTGCCCACTGTAAACGGCTGTTTACTGCCGGTCGAATCACGCCCTGTGTGCAAACATTGCCCCCGCCCCCACACACACACGGACCACGGGCCGGCAATGATGATTCCAACGCGTCCTTATCAATTAGTACACATTCTAAAAATACACAACAAGGGCCGCAGATGGCGCATTGTTCTCTGCTCGCGATGATTCACGCTTTGGTTTGCGATGAATTGAATATATATATCTTTGCCCTTTGCCACGGATTTGGTGACCTCAAAAAGAAAATCCCCTAAATCACACAGAAACTGCACACGGCACACGTATTTTGTCCGAGCGAAGTTATCGAAGTCGTCTCGGGTCCCAGCCGCCCAGCCTCAGTGTCCGGCTCGCTGACTAAATGACCCACCGACTGACCAGGGTGACCAGACGAAAATCGCAAATTTCTGCTAGATGCATGGATTTCCAAATTCTACTAGATTCAATACAAATCTGCTAAATCACATAGAATTATACACAAAATACCTCAAAAACGAACAATAAGCGTGTCAAATTTGGATACACCTCGCACGTGTGAACCAGGGTGACCAGATGAAAATCGCACAATTCTGCTAGATGCACTGCAAAATTTCTGCTAGAATCGTTTTAAATCTGTCGGGTCTAGCAGAAAATCTGCTTGCCAAGGATTGTGAGTTATTAAAACGAAGAGGAATCTAGATGACTATTTTTTGACTTCCCTTTACCGCACGGCTTTATGAAATGTGAAATAAATTAATAAGGGAAAAGAGCGCCCTCTAGCTTCAAAAGAGGTCCCCCCTCCCCCGCCTTTCGAATTTGCAGCAGTTGTGGTGGCATGAACATTTGGGGAAAATGTTGGGTTCGCCCTTGGTGCCCCCTCATAATGAGCTGGTCCCCCCCCCCCCCCCCCCACACTGACAAACAATCCTGGCTACGCCACTACTAAGACTGGTCTCCAAACTGGGACCACCTTCACTATACGTTTGTCTTGTACCAATACAAAAGGAACCATAATGATATCTCGAGAATGAAGTTACTTAAAAATATTTGCAAAATCTCAATTTTGTCAAACTTGTATCGGGGAGACAAAGACACCAGCGTTTTGAACAACCAATTCCCCTAAGAAAAAAATCACCATCTTTCCTACAATACCCCAAACATGAAAGATCCTATACAGCACTTTAATAACAATTACTTTGGAATATGAGCTAAAACAGTCGTACAAAGTGGAGACATAATTTTGGCGAAAATATACGGAACGACTTATCCCAAAGATCCACATCTCTTATGGGTCACAATGCAACGTTAAACATCTTGGACCTATCTATAAAACTTTGTGAGACAATTCGCTGGGGGATCACATTCGTATTGTCTGGTCAATAAAAAAAAAATTAAAAAAATAACCAAAAAAGAAATCCAGAAATCTGGCATTATTTACGAAAAGTTGGATTTGTTTTATACGACTGACAGCTGGCCCATAAATTTCCCGAACATTCAGGACGATTTATGCCTTTTTTTTATCAACGAAAGTAAGTTATCCAGCAGTGAATTTGCCACACGTGATTATAGTCGAAGCGCGCACACAGCTTGAAATGATCAAATGTTTTTTTTGTTGAATTCACGGGGATATTTACAAGGCTGACTTAGTCATTCGGAAAATAGGTACTTCTTGGGACAAAGCGGTGACAATGTCAGCAATGAGCGTGGCCATAAGCCAATTAAAAAAATCCAGGGGGGGGAATTAAATGTTTACCGGATATCATACTATAACTTGTATAGTTCTATTGTAATTACTTTACGGTGCGGGACAGTATTAGCAGGTGTGTTCGTGAAGTTCAATAAATTATAAAACTACAAACAATCAACAAATGAATAACAATTCTTTAATTTAAAACGGGCGCAAGGTGTTTTGTGGAGGGAAGGGATGTGTTGTTAGAAAATACATTCATCGGATGCTTGGAATTAGAAGCGGACTGGAATTAAAAGCGGACAAATGATGTTTTGTCGTATTTAAGAAGAAATCATCTACATGAAGTTTGACTTCATCGGCCTGTACATAACATGTAGGCCTGCTCAGTTACAGGTTTCTCTTCTTGAAGCGGCATGTAATGGTTTATTGAATGAACGACGCTGGGGCTCACGACCATGACGTAATCATTTGACTAGTAAACATAAATAATTTATAAATGATCTTGAACAATACAAAAATAGTCAACACTCAAAATTCCTAAACTGCTGGAAACCGAAATGGTGATGTGTCCTGATTTACTTTTTACAAGAAATTTACAAGGTTTTCATGATCTAGTAAACATTTTCGTAGAAAGTAACTAGAGCCTATCATGCTGCCGTAGAACTTGTCCACCGAAACATTGATCGCCACACACTCTAATTTCTCAGCTAAAATTGACCCAAATTCCGTTTTCGAAGAAGCAAAATGACAAAGATGCTAAAACTCTGTGTCAAATTGTCGATTCCCCCCCCCAAAAAAAAAATTCATCATCTGCAACTCTAGGACAAAAACTGGACATTTTTCAAAATCTGGCCTATCATTGTAACACATGTCAGTACAGCAACATATGGCGCTGCACAGGTGTGTTTGCTTAAGAGAGCAAGAAAAACATGTAAGAAAGATTGATGGTCAGTGGTAAAACTTTATATTTATTGTTTGGCGGAGCGGAACACCGGTTTCACGCATCACATATTGTTGGGATGCAAACGCAAGTGACAGCGCGCACGGAGTGACAGTGAGATTTTGCACATCCGCACTCTGTCTTCGCTGAGTCTCAAGTCCCGACGGCTATTGTATGTCGGAACTTAACACTCCTCAACAACTGAGTGAAATATGATCTATAACACATGTATCATCGGTAATTATGTATTTCTTTAGCTACTGATTTACCGAATTCATGTGTTTGAAGCAGAGATAATTGATCGATTTGCAACTGCAATGTTTAAATTCGCCACATGATCCTAAAACCAGTGTTTTATAAAAAAAAATACATTTTCGACATATCTGAACTTCGGAAAAAAAAGATCAAAATAGACGCGCCATAGGACAAACTGTTTTAATCCTTTGTAAAAAAACAACCGAGGCAGTATTTCTCCACCCCAAAATAATGTCAAATTGTCTACATGCAACAGCCGTTGAGATGACAGGTGCACTGCGTGATCTGTCCATAATCTCAACCCCTCCTCGCACCTGTTCCATCATAAACGTTTATAAGTTTGATCATTTATTATGACGAGGAGGGCCAGTTGGTGGTAAACCATCACAATTTCTGTCGGTCCTCGAGTAGGGTGGGTTCTTGGGGTTGATGCGGAAAGAGGGCACTGGGTTTCACTACGTGGCTCTGCGGTTTCTAGCCGGAGTAGTTGGACCGGCACTTGTGTGACCATTGTGCCTGGAGATGGTTTTAGAGTGCCGATAAATTATAAGTGAAATTGGCAATCCACTTATGCCGAGGACAGTGGATTGGAAACCGACATTGGAATGAGAGCAGAGCTCTTACGGTTTCGGGAACCACCTGGGCCAGGGTATCACCTTCATTTATGCATCAAGACGTGGACAGTCCAATCCACCTTACTGACTCGGAAGTTCGTAGCAAATCGTTAGGGACTTCAGTTGACATATTCAGATGTTGGATGGAACACAACATCGCTCGATTGAAACATACAGCTACCAAGGGTCGGTGGCCTAATGGGAAATTTGGAATTCAGGTGCACTACAAAGACGCAAAGTCCTTCTGAGGATGTACAATGAAACGAACATTCAATGGTCGGCTCTAAGGTCGGATTTAGGGGAGGTGGTCGGGTGGCTTACCACGCCCCTTCCACCTTAACATTGTTAATAATCTACGTATAACTGGAAAAGTCACACATACATGTATTTCATTTCAAATCTCGGTGTACATTTGTATTTTGAAGGGCCTCGGCACTCTGGAACGTTCGAAGGGCGGGTTTAGGGGAGGTGGCTGAGGCGGCTTACCACGCCCCTTCACTTGAACAAAGCTAATCACAATCTGTTGCTTGGAGGTCACGTTGCGTTATTTCTTTTCCAGAGATAACGTCTTAGCGCACGTCTTAGTTGTGTTAATAGGATCATTTGCATTTATCCCATAAGTACCAAACCTAACTACTATCAAAAACCTTACTTTGATTAACGATCGTATACTGGTACTCAACACCCCGTGAAATATTTCCGTCTGGCTTGGTGTCTTTTAAATGTAGGTGACTTCCAACGATCAGTATTGGCTGATTTTTGGAAATAAACAGTATTAGGACGAAATCGTGTTTCGTGATAAAAAGGTTGGGCATGGTTTTTCAATGTTTTCTCGAAAAGTGTAATATCCACTGGGCTGAAACTTCAACAGGTACCGTAAGCGTTTGAACGTTTTTCTTTGGAGTTTGAGTGGTGTTATTATTGGAAACGATACAAAAAAACGATGATAAGGAAATGATCCCAGATGCCTTTGGTCCCCCAAAACGGTCACTGTCAAACGATAATAACATTTGATGATGTCCCGTCCAAGTTCTAATGATCACAGAACTTCGTCAAACGACTCAGGAACTCCCAAACAATTGCATTAGTGGTAGCAGAGGGGGCAAACACAAGGCAGGTTACAGTTGGGATTTTTTTAAAGGCATGATTCAGTCATCTCAACACAAAATAAACGAGGAATTAGAACAATAACATTTTGTTATTAAGTTCGACCGTTATGTCGCGAACCAGGTACATTCTGTTTAATAGTCACTAGAATAATGCGGGTACAGTATCGTATGGAGTACAATACTTCATAAATAACAGCTTACTAAAACGCAAATAATAACGAGACTTTGGTTAAATAAAATAGAACTAAAATATAGTTATTTACTCAATTATAATACATGTACATTAAGATGACGTTAGTTTCAAACCTAATGAAAGTGTGTACAACACGTGAACATAGCACACGATCCAGCGGGTACAAAACAGCAAGGTATTTCACAAATATTTCGTGGAATATTTCCGATATTTCCCCTAGTATAGGATTCAACCTTACAATACTCTGCGTACTGTTAAATATTATTTCCCGAATGAAGACATCTGAACGCCTTAAAATAATGGATATCAAAAGAGGGCGTAGTTTCAGAGTCGCAAGAGGGCGGTGTTCACAATTTACTATCGCACGTTGCTTTAAATCTAGTCATTTCAATATTTTGTGACTAAATTTTGTTAGACCACGGAGCTATGGAAAAACACCTTTATAAACTAAACACATGTCACTTAATAATCGTTACATACATAATTCACATGATAGGCCTAGCCCAACAACACAATGGATCAGGACACATTGTTAAATTTAACGTAGTGAGAATGATTTAAACAAAACAAAAAAGCTCGTTTTCCCCACCCCCACCAAACATCAAAATAACCCTATACAAATGAAAGGTTCACCTTCGTTGATATTTCCCGTGCCGATTGAAACAAAATAATTTACATATGAAACATTCACGGGTAATACTTCGCCCTTTGACCCCAGATGTCATAAGGTCAAGTGTCACATCAAACGTTATCGCCCGCGCGTTATAACCTTCGCTGTCTCCATGCAATACATTTACAATATCTTCATTCACTGACGACGCAACGTGACTTAAATACTTAAGTTTGATTGGCTAATAGCATATAATTGCAGGAAGTCACGTGCATCTCACAAGCCAATCAGATTGTGCCGGTCATTCTCAATCCAAAAGTCACAACTGCCGAATGTATCATATGGCTGTACATAGGCAGTTGTTATTTAAGGTAAAAGGTAATGTTCCACTTTTTTCACTTTAGAAAAGCAACGCTAAAGACAATATATAGTACATGTGTATTTCCATAATATTCTTAGGCAGGTAACTAAATACCCTGTGAACAAACAATGCTTAAATTTCTGTCACCGAAATTACAAAGTTAATCGGAAACTCTAAAACTTTCTGCAATCAAAGTGTTTCTCGGCATCAAAATGTAAGTTCTATAAAAGTAAGAAAGTTAAAAACCTTTTTCCTGATTCGCGTCGCGTCATTTTTGGCAATTTGTATTTTATTTTCTGCAATCCAAGCAGTTAAGGTGTTCTTGCAACGATTACATCGTTGGAAACAATCAGGGTTGCCAATAAAATGGGTAATCGACGAGTAATTGTGGGAAACAAGAGTTGTGCATGCTTGGCCGTTTGAGGGCGCTATCACAACAATTTCGGGTACAAACTCATTAAATTAATTACTGAGACTGTACAATGAACAGCTTACATTTTCAATGTAAGACAATGTAAATGCAGAATATATGTTCTTTAAAAATGCTTGTTACACCGCCACCAAACGGTCAAATTTCACAGCACTGTAACAATTCTCCGTTTGGGGGGGGGGGGGGGGTAAGCTTTAGATGAAAGGCATCTGCTTACAATAATATTGACCCGACATTATTTTTATGCTTCATCTGAGTATCACAAATTGTCGAGCCAAAAACCATTTCAGTACCAATGCAAATTCCTTCCACTCTGAATTTAAGTTCGAAGGTACCTTCAAAACGTTGCAAGGATGGTTTCATCCAGTGTCATAGGGAATTCAGGTTTGTATAAAAATAAATGTGGACTCACACCCTTAAAACGCTCACCGGAGTTTTCTGCGTTTTGGACATGCGCACTATGGTCAAGGTTACCGTTTTCATGGAGTCAGAATCCCATATAACACCGGTGCTTTCAAAAGTGTATTATGTGAAGCAGAAAGTGCTGTTAGTAGCATTGAGGTGAAACCGTTTATTATCTGCACAGAACAGCGACCAAGATCAAATTACAATGTACATGTGATCTAAACGTCGAGATCTTGTGGTTAGCTCAGAACTGAATAAAGTTTATAGCATAGACTGGTTCCCAGTCCCTCCATCATCGATTCTGACTTCGAATGCAAGGGAGCAGGAACCAGTCTAGTCTGTAATTATTTCCACATTTTTTATCGGATGAGGGCGCTGTTAACGACTCCATTTTTTATGGTACAAACGGACATTGCATTCTCTAATTTTTGTAGATGAAGTAAAGTAAACTTCAATAAACCTGACATTTCCTTCTTCTTTTTTTTACAAAGAATGTCGTTACACTGCTACAGCGTCCCCACTCGTTCAATATGGCCAATTCCAAACCTATACAGAGAAACGATCATCAAGATAGGAGAATGGTTTGAACGCATTATCTTTTCGGTTTTAATAAAAACAAAATCTGTAATTCAGACTGTTGTCTCAACGCCGGACCGTTTCCTCTTAAACTTCCCATCCTCCGTTGAAAACACCGAGTAATTGTCTTGCTCCGTTGCCAAGTCGCAGTCGGAGACGGAGGACCCCGAGGGAAGGCGGTCCGGGTAGAACGGCGCCGGGGGCTCCGCGTTGGTCTTCAGGCGTTTGCTGGCCAGCCAGCGCGCCGGCAAGCGGCGGCCGGTGCTCGGAGAGGGCCGGGGGAAGAGAGCGGTCAGGGCCGGTGCGTTGCCGACTTGGCCGGGGAGCTGTCATGGTCAGTGTACCCAGAGGGAGACGGAGTATGGGTTTTGACATGACACAACGGAGAAGGTAACAAGATGGGAGGAGAGAGTGGGAGGGTGGGAGAAAGGAAGGCGAGAGATTTGGACAAAGTAGTTGCCGCAACCAACCGGGACAAAAGATACAATGGTGGAGAACGGAAAATTAATGACAAAACAGTGCCAAAATCAAAATAATAGCATGCATACATTAAACAAGGACTAATAAGCTAAAGACGGCGACTCTGAATGGGGTTGAAGTAGACACAATTTGATCCTAAGTCTTTCGGAAATATGTTGTAAACTTTTGACAGGCACAAATGTCACGAAATCAACAAATTTACAAGAACGATGTACATGTTTCTCCTTTGGTCTTCTGTTAAATCTAGACTTCTTTAGCATACTTTTTGAAAGTTTCTTTTATATCATACTTGAAGTCGTGAAATTCGGGAACTGCAAAGCACTGTATTATCCAAGGATCTGTTTATCCAGTTTAAAAGTGAGCGTTGTTCTTTTCAAGACAAATTTCCAGTGTAAAAACCTTTGATGCTCAAAAAGTTATCACTTTTTTTAATTGTTGATGTCTATTCAAGTTTTAGAATTTTCTTAAAAATCCGTTTTCACCTTCAGATCTCCCGTCATTGTTAAAACTAAAAGGAAGTTAACAAGCATGATGGGTTAGACATTAAGTGTAAACTAAAGGTTAAAGACCATTTTAGTATTGCACAAAACCGAATTACTGTATTGTTGGAATAAAATGAACGATACAGTAGGATGAAAGAGCAAACGGGTCGAAAATGTGGAAATGGAAACAGGTGGTGTCAACAAACCAAACAAAGTGGTTCAGGGTCAAGTGTGGGAAGGACGAAAGTAATTAAGACAAACCACAAGTCCACAGCAACAATTTTGGGCATTGGAAGAGGGAGGAAAAATACGAAAGTTAATAAGCCAATGTCACAAGACAGCCCGATGCACTGAAAATTGGGTTGGTAAAAACGTATGAATGTGGCTATTGGATTTAATAAGCAGGCTTTAATGAGATATTTGAATTAGTGGCAAAACTCGTGTTATGAAAGCACAATGTTTGGAATAATAGGTGCATGCAGCTAACACCCGGGCTGAGTTGGCTAAATGTAAATGGTTTTGTGTTTGGTTTAGGTATTCTATGATCATCCTTGTTAAGTTTTTACACGGTTAAGTCTAGTATCACTATTGTATGCAAGATGTATTTGCTACCAAACATTCTGGATTAGATGTCCGTTTCTATGCTTTCTTGAGAACCTACCATTTCGTCTAGCGAGGCTGTAGGGGCCGGTTTCAGGGGAGGCTCCTGGCCTGTCTTCCCCTGCGGTTTTTCAACCGTGGTTTTTGCAGCATCAGCTGCCCCTTTATCACTAGTGGAAGAGCTCACCACGCGGCACGTCTCCACCGTGTTCACGGTTTTCTTGGACGATACCACGGTGACGCGGGTAGCGTTTGGCTTCAGCGGGCTGGTGGGACTGGAGGGACTGGTCGGCGGGGCAAAGGTCACGGATCGCGCAGGTGCACCATGGGAAGAGTCACTGGACTTGGGTCGTTTCTTGTGCTTGGACACGATAGATTTTTTGTTGTGTGGGGATCCCGAGTCTGGAGAGGTGGTTAGTCTCCGTGTTGGGGAGACGGCAGCTGATGGACGCTTGGAGCTTGTCACTTGAGTCTCAATCACTTTGTGACTGTGCTCCTCAGTTTTAATGTGAGAGTGGTGCTGGGGGAGTGACACAGCAGGTGCAGCGCTCCACAGGGAGCTCTTAGAGGGTGGGCAGTGAGTCTGGGGACTAGACTGACTGGCTGTAGCGCCACCAACCGTCTCGTTGTTATTAGTCACCGAGACACCGAGTTGCGACGGCCGATGGCAGGGGTTGTTATTGTTATTGTTGGGTTCACGGGCGGTGGTGTTGCTGTCCGGAGTAGATTTGACGATGTGTTGCTGTTGCATGAGCAGACTCGGGGGGAGATCCGAGAAGAAGTTGGCTCTGGCCGAGCGAGGCGAGATCCTCTTACGTCTTGACGTTGGGGACTCTGATTCACTCGTGTGATGGCTCAGGTGATGCAGCTGTTGCACCTCAGACACCGGTCTGGTCTTGGCTTGCATTTGGCTCTTAGTCCGCGGCAACTGACCTGGCAGGACTGAAAGAGGCTCAGCGTTCTGCAAAGCCGTCAACTGGTAAGGTGGCAAGGGGATGTTGAAATTCTTCCCCGAGGCAGAAGAGTGCCTCCAGGTGGGCGGGGGAGACTGGGCCGGGACGGGAACGCTCTCGGACCGCTTGGTCGTGGCGTGGACCTCGTTCATTTTCTTTGGTAGCAGGAAGCCCGGTGGTGCACAGGGGTAGCTGGACACTGAGCGGGGCAGTCTGGGCGAGCCACCGGGGCTGGGGCCCTTGATACCCGGGACTGAGCTAGCGGCTTTCACCGGGGCCGTATTACTGTTTGGTTTGGAAGCACTGGGGGATATAAGCTGCTGACTCTTCGCATGCTCACTTGTTTTGGAGGTAGAAGTGTTCCTAGCACTTTGGGAATCAAGGCCACACGGAGCACTTGCCCCTACGCCCTTCAGAGCCGCGGCTGGAGGGGGCGCACTGTCTTTAAGAAGGGATTGCTTGGTGATGTCCTGCTCCGATGTCGATGGGCTGCAACGTGTGTACAGTTCAGTGTCTGTGTGACGCTCACGATCGCTGTCGTTATCTGAGACATTGTCGGGATCTCGCCTCGGCGACAGAGCGCGGCTGGGCAGAGTCCCGGCGCCCCGCGCCAGGTTCTGCTCAAACATCTTCTTCGTGGACGTCACCCGGCTCCTGTCCATCTCGGCCATGCGTTTCTCCAGGTCCGTCTCGAATCTCACCTCGGAATCCGAGGCCACGGGCGAGGATTTCCGGTCGGTTTCCCGGAGTAGTCCCTGGCCGTCGAACCGACCGAACTTGGTCAGCACCGGCTTGGCGGTGAGCTTCCCCGGTAGTGAGTCCCGTTGCTTGTCACTCAGCGCCGGTGACGAGGACGCCGAGTTCGAGTTACTGTTACTGTTGCTTCCGTGCTCACTACTTTTACTATCCTCGTCCTTCACAGTCCGTTGATCGGATGGGACAGGGGTAGAACACATCCGCTGGGAGAGCTGCACGCGCACCGATGACGTCTTCGGTTCCGGAGTCTGCGCCCTGGGTTGTTTCTCGGGCGAATGTTTCCTGATCGGTTTGGGCGATGATGACGTCAGGATCTCCGCGCTGCGCGTGTGGGAACGGGGGTCGCGTTTACCGCCCTCAAGAGGCGGCCGCTCCGTGGTGATGATCTGAATGGAAGAGGTTTCGGTGGTGGTGTCCTCATACTGTTTGGCTCGCTGGCAGACGGGTTTGGAGTATTTGACCACGGAGGCTGCTTTGGCAACGTCTGAATGTGACTTGGACCTGTTAGAATTGTCACAAAGAAAGGAACCAATATCAGATCAACCACAATTACCAAGGACAGAGAAAACAAAGTAACGGACAACAGATTATTAAGGTCAAACTATTGCCGTCATTAAAATCCTAGCAGCTGTACAATATTTTGTTTTCAGAATCTAATTTCAATGTTTTTAGTACAACCCTTTACGGACAGTGAAAGTTTAAAATATTGCTTACGGACAAGCATCAAACTACAACCATATGGTTTTGTAAAGAAGGAAACAGCAGTCCAGGACTTTCAAAAGGAAATCAAGAACCTAATTTTGTTGATAACCTTCCATAACGTTGTTAATTTTTTTTCTTCAAAATCATGGATAACATTCCGAGTTCTCATCAATGGGCCCGACAGTTACCAACAAATACAATTACAGCAGCCTTCGAAAGAAAAGGGAGGGTATCTGACTGGTAGCAGGCTCGTGTACACTACTGGTCTATCCGGGCAGGGAGCACGACCAATATGGCGGCTGCATAGCTTTACCTTCTTGGGCGTGAAGCACACTCGATCTCAAGTCGAGCCTGAAAACACGTTAGGTCATCCCGTACGATTGCGATTCGTCGGAGGGCCTACAGTTGCAAACACCACACCCCACACAATTTGGAAGAAATACCAAAAAAATACTTTGGTAAGAAAATCAGGACAATATGACACACACTGCCTACCTGTAATCTTTCTCCGATGCAGCCACCTTTTTGAGCGCGTGCGCAGATGAGAGGGCGGGAAATGGAAAATGGAAGAAAAACATGGCCGAGTTAGTACATGCGCAGTTAAAAACTATTGCCACCAACATTTAACTAATGCACATCACTACATGTACATGACATTTTGGTACTACACAGTGCACATCTATCCTATAAGACTATCCTAAGAATCTAAAGAGTGCCTGGCTGCCTGCGATTTGAGCCAAAGGAAGGCCAGATTTTGAAAACATCGATTTTTTTTATTTATACCCACTTTTTTTATTACCTCCGCCAAGGAGGTTATGTTTTCATCGGATTTTGTTTGTTTGTTGTCTGTTAACAAGATAACTCAAAATGTTATGGACGGTTTTGCATGAATTTTTTTTAGTTTTAGGGATGGTCCTGTGTGCAAGTACAAATCGATTAGATTTTGGAAGTGATCCGGATCTGCGTCTGGATGCAGGATTTTTTTAAAGGATTTTTTCACCCATCATAATTATGGAAAACTTTCACCCTGTATGACCAGCTTCGTGTGCGCGGCACTGACCCGGTGACCCTGCATACCTTATCACCCACCTAGTCTAACCACACAGGTCAATGGACTAGACCATTTTCTCAATGGGGGAGCCATGGAAAAGTAGACCAACAGAGGCATATAAATGTACCCTACAAAATGTTTGAGTTTAAGGATATGTTTTAGAAACCACATTTGTGCATTGGTGCTGTGTGTAATGGCGGGAAATTGTTCAGCCTTGGCGGAGCTAGGTATGCACTCTCTTGAGTGCTTTCTAGCTGTCTTAGCAGTAAACACATCAATTTTCTATAACATGCCCCCTTTTATATTTGCAATATTTGTGCTTCCCTTTGAGCACCAGCAGTGTTTAAAGGCTTCTTTTTTTATAAATCCGATTTCCTTCTCTTGCAGAAAGCGCTGAAACATAACTGGAAAAGCATCCCCTCCACCAGAAGCACATTGAAAAGCTGAGTTTGAGACCATTTTGGAGATATTTCAAGAAGGAATTCTAGTCTTACAATATAACAACATCAATCCAATTCTAAGATGCACATGCACAAGACATGTTGCTGATGTTCGTAAAATAAACAAGATCAGACCGGCATGCCACAAACAAATAACAAACGTATGCATACTAATTTTCTTTTTGAAAATTGTCGAGAAACGGAAATTCACGTGCAATAAAGCAAAAGAGTTGCAGGCAAAGTAGCCCAAGCTGAACCAAAGAAAGAACAGAAATTAAAAGGGTGGAATTTTGTTGGAAATTAACGCTAACTTAACAAAAGATGAACTTCAGTTTAAAATGTTGTCTACATAGTGTTCTAATTGACTATAGAAGGGAAACTTTTGATCATGACATATGATTGAAGAAGCTTACTTTAATTCAGGACATGCATTATGGGAACGAACTTAACAATATTAAAACAAGAGTACCGAAGTCTGACATCAGCGGTCTTTGTTCTGGTTCACGCGCTGGCTCGCGTGCTGATGTCTTCACGCACTTAAGCTTTGGCGTGAACCATGACGTTTGTTTATGGTGTGAATCAGGATTTCCCATTGTTCCTCTTCCCTTTTCTTTTGTTTATATTCTAACTTTTTTTGCAACAGCTCTCATTGGTTTTGTTCACGTTTTCTAATCGAGATCGTCCTCGATTTGGTTCCTGTCCTCGATTCACCGATGATGTTGCACGTGTGTGTCCTCAATTTGCACCATAAACAAACGCCAGACCACGCGGCACACTTCGGTAGTCTATTGTATTGTGCAGTTGGAGGCTTGTTGATACGAGCTACGGCAGAATCAGAGCGGGTACAGGTACGGGGAAACTATGGTACTACATGTACATGTTACACCGTGTGACATCTGGAACGCGCGCTTTAGATTCCATTCAATGAAATGTTGTTCAGCTACAATAAGTTTATAATGTTTACAGATCAATCGCTGAACATCAACATGCAACAAATATAAGGCTGAAGTAACCCTGAAAAGTTGATACGTTTATGGGCAAATTCACAAGAGGAGTTTATGGGCAAATTCACAAGGGGATTTCAGGTTGGCGCAGTGGTTCTTTTCTCGCCTTCCACCGCTCTGGCCCGGGTTCGATTCCTGTCCTGGTCCACATGAGGATTGGGTTTCCAGTCCCAACCTGCCTCCGGGGGTTTCCTCAGAATATTCTTCTGGGTTTTCCGCCCATTTCTGAAACTGTAATTTCTTCTCATTGTCTCCCTCTCTAGGCCTACAGGTTCCTTTAGTTTTGTGATTCATTACTCCACTACTCGTTACTAAAATTGTAATACTTCTATCTTAGCAGAACTTTGCTTATAATTCAATCTGTCGTTTGGACAAGAAAATTAACATCAGTTCGCTAAACTTCATGGTAAGTTGTGTGTAATGATATAGAAATTTAAGGAATGTTGGTGTCAATTATTTATGAAAAGTAGCGTAACAATTGAGGGCATTAGAGTCAAATATCAGAAAGAGAAAGAACTTAAGAGTAAAAGCAAAATGCAAGAACCTCGTCAAATGCGTTCTTAGCCGACATGCTATCGGATGCTTTGATGACGTCAGGCACTTCTTGCGCATGGGCAAGCTCATCCTTCCCAGCATGCTCTGGCACCTTTTCTTGCATCCGACGCACGAGGTCGCTCTTTTCCGTTTTGGGCGGGGCGGCCTTCTCGCTGGACATTTTGGTTTCTTTAATCTGAATACAGTATTAAAAGTGCTGCAAATTGGATTTCTGCTCTATTTTTATATTTGAAATTTGTACAAATTTTGAGCCCCAAAAAAGAAGGGAAAAAAAACAGAATTAGAAATTAGTTTGCGTATGATACTCTGTTAAAATTGTTGCAAGCGTTTACAAGCTTTTTTGTTTAGTCTTCAACAAGCGAAACATTCACAGCCTATCTCCGTTTGGTAAGATCAAATCCATAAACTGTTAGGATCAATAATTTATTTTGCGATACGGAAGTAGGCATTTCCGTTTATTGCATAATGGCTCTTACGTTTTCGTTTTTAACTCAAAAATATACCAGTAAATGTACATAAAAAAACACGTGTAAATATTAAAGAATGACTGACCATACCAATTTGTAAACAACTTACCGTCATCTCTTGAAACCCTTTAGTGGGCGGCTCTGCTGCATACGATCGGCTTGGGCTGGAAGGCGCATCAGTTTTACTAGATGTCTGTAAAAACGAGAATATAGAACTCTGATCATAGTCGACAAATAAATTTGTTTTGGTATCTTACGAAACTAGCAAATTCGTGATATTTTATACTCTAATAATATAAAAACATGTTTGCATTTCTGTATACGTGTTAAGGTTTGGCTCGAAAAACTTGAAAAGGAATTCGGAACACGTACCTGATTCGTAGAAGCATCACTCATTCGTAACTTTTGCAGCTAAAAAATAAACAGAAATAATATAATTTTCATTTAACGAAACTCTCTTGTACTATCGATTGCAATTGGAAAATAACTATCAATTTAAGACAAATGATGGAAATAAAAAGGGCTTATGCAAATAATAAATTAAATAACATAATAACACATACAAATAATGTATACATTAAAAGCTAAAGCAAAATCAAATGAATCAAATTAGGTTTTGCCCTTCACTCCATCTTATTACAAAATCAAATGTAAAACAACTTTTTTTTAATGACAGGTAAATATATTTCTTGAAGTTGTATATACTTTTCATTTCCTCTAAATTTACAAATATAAAAACGGATACGAATGAATGTGTATCAATAATAGTGTGTGTATATCAGTTTCAAAATCATAATTATGTATCAAGAATTTTACATTAAATTGTCACAAGTTAAAGTTTTACAAATTCTACCATACCTCCTGTATCATTGTCTCGATCCTATTGTGTTCCAGTCTCCGTGAGGTTAGACTCCCCTGCAGTCGTTTTTGCAGGTCTGCCCTCTCGCTTCGCCACAGGTCTCGGTCTCGCTGGTAGCGCTGCTCCAATTGGCTGCTTCGCTTCTGCATGTCCTTCATCGTCTCCATCTGCTCCTCAAGCTGATATCAAACGATCACAATGACAGTAGTCATACAGTATTTGCAACAGATGCTTTACAACAGAATCCACGCATATACACTTTCTTAGCATCTTACAAGAGGAAGTTTAAATATATTGTTCTCACTTGTTACAAAGAGCATGTTCTTCCGTTTTGATTTATCGGCCAATTTAAACAGATTGATTTAATATCCAGTTATTTGAAATACAGCTTGATTGTTCCTACTGAATTCCATTGTGCACATTTGCGGATTGTAGAGGTCCTCCTATGCACGGAGAAAGAGGCCTCCCCCTAAAAGTTGCAACAGTTTTGGACAGTATTAGCAGGGCGAAGGTTGAGGCATCCTCAGTTGATTATAATTCACATTTATTTACCAATTCATGTCACTGACATTATACCACGTCTACTCACCGTTCTGCTAAACAGGCACTTATTTTCTCCCCTAGCGGTTGCATTTGTAATTTTTAACCAAAATTTCACGGGAAGTGGTATTCCGGCAATCTCTAAACTTTACTTGTTTGAAATTCCTGAATTTACCTGTCCGTTATGCAAAGTTACACGAGAAACGTTATTTCAACGTGATTTTCCGATTTTGTGTGAAGTTTTTATACATATTCGCCTAGAAAAAAGGCTAAAGCCACTCTAGGTACAGTGCTTCAAGGGAAATACAAAGAAGAGTCAGTACTGAGGAAAACTGAAGGTAGGAATTAACATTTCTTTTGGAAAAGGATAGATCATATAGGATGGAGGGAAACAAGCAATATGCAAGGAATTCCAAAGAGATTTAGCACCTGTCCTGTGACGGAGTTTAGATTTGGACTTTATTTGACAACGACTCTGCTTTGACGATATAGTTACCTCTTTGATGGAGTCTGAGAGTTGCTGCTTATCCTCCTCCCATTCCTTCTTCTCCTTAGCGAACCTCTCCTTGGCCATGTCCAGCTCCCTCTTCATCTTGCCCTGACGCGCGTCAGCCTGCCTCCGCGTCTCCAGAGAGTTCTGGTTAGCCTCGGCCACCAGTCGTCGGTTGTCAGCCCGCTCGATGTCCCACGCGGCCTGGAGCCGCACCTGGAGCTCTTCCAGTTTGACCTTCTTTAGTTTAGTCTGCTGCTCAAGCTGTCAATAAATTTTCAAATTTTCAGAAGCGATAGTCTTCAAAGTTCCTCTTATACTGTAATTCATATGTACTTTATACTCGGGTATTAGGATCTCGTGAGAACACAAATCACAAGATTGTCCTGTTTCAAATCATTTAAAGGTAGTAAAACAAGGAGTCATGTTTAACTAGCTTTACAGAACTCTCTTCGCAATCCACCTCTATGACCTGGTTTGAATCCTATCCTACAAATTAGATCCTTTCATTCCTCTGAAATTATCACTCTTTACCTTTCCTATCTTAGCCATGAGTTCGTTCTTCTTGACGTCCCAGGAGGCTTTCTCGTTGGCGTAGCTCCTCTGCAGCGCGTCGCAGCGCTCTCGCTCGGCGGCCAACTGGCCGCTCAACTCCCGCCTGTCTCGCTGGAGCTCGTCCGCTAGCTGCTTGGACCTCTTGGCCTGTTACAACACAAGCAAAATAATCAAAAGGGAATGTCATATCTGAATGCCTGAATTGACTTTAATTAAAGAGGAGACAGGATGGTTTTAGAGATTAAACTTGACATCCGATAAAAACAAGCTCATGAGAAATGGTTGACTATTTGGTACTCTTCAACCTATTTAAAGTTAGATTTACTGCTTATACAGTAACCTTATATCAGCAAAGAGATCATCTCATTTACATCCAAGAACGAAATAGACTAGTAAAAGAGCAGGATCCATTTATTGTTTCCCTACATAAAAAAGGTCCATCTTTTTGCATTGGCCTGCATGAATCCGTAAAGTCCTAAACCAGAACTATACATGACTTATACCAGACTGTTACAGACCACTGAAATAAATGACTGTCCATGCACTTTAGTACTGTGAGCAAGAGACGGTCGGCTTTGAATAGAGCAGTTTACAATTTCTTCCTTTGAAGAAAGCCCTGCATTTTTGATATTCTGTGTTTCGTTCGGCCCCATATCTATTAAATATTATTAGAAATGCAATGTGTGATTCTGTGGCATGTGTGTACGTGATTATGTCGTCGAGACTAATTACTGGGAAAATGAGGTTTTAGTGGAACGGTATAAAGTGGTAGATTTGCAGGTACACTATGCGAATAGCAAGTTATAGAACCGATGGTGATTATTGTAAACGACTTTTCAGATAACTCTGTCCGTCCTTGGGAAGTTGTAAACTTTGGCTACTTTAATTATATGTAGGCCTAATTGACGCATGTCCTTTGATAAAGTCCTGTGGTATGTGACCATTTATGGCACCTCTTATGTATACTGATTTTCTTACCGATAGAGATTCCTTCTCAGCCGTTTGTCTCGCTGCCATCTTATCTTCCACAGAGCTTTCAGCGATCGCTTTCTGCTCTTTCGATTCCTTCTGCGCCGCTTCCAGATCCCGCTTCGCGTCCACCTTCTCCTTAGTCTCGCTCTCCAGCCGCGTCTGCAGCCGCGCCAGCTCCTCCTTGAAGTACTTAGACTCCGCCTCCAGCTTGAAGCGGCTGGCGGCGATCTCGGCTTTCCAGATCTTCTCGTCCCGCTGGTACTGAGAGTGGATCTCCAGTCGGGCGTTCTCGATGCGGCGCGACTGGTTGTCCAGCAGACGTTGGAGGCGCTCTATCTCTTTGGACTGATTCTTCAAGTCACTCTCCTTGTCTTCAATCTACATGTACATGGAGGACATTTGTAACTTGGTTTTTATTGATGATGAAATAAATGAAAATCCTTAAACAGCTGAAGTTGAGCATCAGTTCAAAAAGGGCATCAAGAGATTCTCAACAACAAATTAATCATGACTCCTAACAGGTTGTAAGAAAAGTTGTATTTAGACATCGAAATACGGCCTCCTATTTGAAAGGAAAGGTGCAAGGATGTACAATCTACATTTAATAAGGGACTGGGGTTTATAATTAGCCTGAAATGGGTCACGAAGTCAGCTTAATTGTTATAACTTTTTTTTAGGAGAAAGCAAAAAGTACCGGGATCCTTATAGTTGTTGGGGAATAGCCACCAGATTTGTAAACTAACCTGTTTGAGCAGACGTCTTCTCTCATCTTTGAACTTGGCCTCGCTGACTTTATGCGTCTCCACCAGCTCCGTGGCTGCCTCTATTCTCGACATCAGCTCATTGGTTCTCTTCTCAGAGCTGGTCTGAGCCTCGCGTAGCTTCCCTCTCAGATCGGTGATGTTGTTGACAAACTCCGACTTCTCCGCCTTCCAGGCGTCTTCCCGAGTCATCAAGGAGGTCTGGAGAGACTTGATGTTGGCGACAAGTTTGGAGCGGTCGCCCTCCCACGACGCGTCTCTGGCTTTCAGGCTGGACTTGAGCTTCTCCAGGGCTTCCTGCAGCTCGCTGCGTTCTGCTTTCCAATCCTTCTCCCGGCTGGCCAGCTTGGTCTTCAGTTCTCGCATCTCGTTGGCCAACCTGGTGTTCTCAGTTCGGAGCTCATCCTCGCCATTGCGGGCGCTCTTGATGAGTTCAGCCTTCTCTTTGCTGCGCGAGTCCTCCTGCAAGCGAAGCTGCGCGTCCATGGCGTGTATGGTGCCCCTACTCTGCTCCAGTTCTTGCTCCATGAGCTCCACTTTGGCCAGGACCTCTTCCAGTTGCCGGTTCTTGCTGCGCAACTCTACATCCTTCTCGTCCAACTCCAGCCGGCCCTCGGAGGAGGTGAGGTTGAGCTGCTGCTCGTGTACCTCCGTGAGTTTGGCCATTTGGGCCCGGTAGGAAGCCTGCAGGTGCTCGAGTCGGGTTTCGGCTTCTCGGAGTTTCTCTTCGCGGTCTTTCTCGTTGTCTTTCAAGGTTTTCATGTAAGTTTCCAGTTCTACTGTTCTTTCTTGTAGAGTCCGCTTCTCGAGTTGGAACTGGCCGAATTCGTGCTGAGGAAGAAAAACATTTACAGTACTTTACAGTGGAATATGACTGAATTTGTTTACTGTGTTCGAACAAATCCAACTCATCAAAGAGGAAATAAGCTTCGGGAACTCTGCAGAGCTAAATAATTTTTAAACACAGCCAATTTTCAAAAATAGCCTTCAGTAGAGATAATGTGCTGTCAAAAATCCTCGATTTCAGTTATGAGGCTGTCAACATCTCTCCTAAGACTGGTGACACACGTAAGCTTCTGTTTTGTTTAAAAATGGCAAATGAATTTCGGACGTTCGCGTGGGTGAAAACTGAATCTTCACTCGGATATTACAATTTGACAGCGCGATACATCCCCGAGGCCGAATGAACATGTGGATATGTCAGGTGTCATAAATGTTTCTATTTATAGTGAGTGGTTAAGTAGTACCACATGACGTCTTTTACCGGAGAGGTCATTTTAACATGAAAAAATAGTGCTTTGAACTCGTTATGCAGTTTTATTAAATTCGAAGACCGCAACAGATGTAATTAAACGGGACATTTTCTCTGAAAATATTTGACATTAGGCATATGTAGATTTTCTGAGACTCAGAAAAGTCTTTAAAATGTTACTAGTTAAAAATATGATATGAAACACTAGATTTTGGTGATTTGCGGACGAAACTCTACCTTTGTTGTGATAAAATTAGAGGTCGGTCCGTTTAGGCATACATAAATTAGAACACAAGCATACTCAAAATGTAACAATGCCACTCAAAATGTGACGTCATTCAATTAATTAATTAGCAACACACCTGTATGTCACTAAGTTTTCTGGCGTTCTCCTGCTGCTGCGCGTCCTGTCGGGCCACCAGCTGGCTCCTCTCTTTTCCCCAGGCCTCGCGCTCTTTCTTCAGGCGGATGTCCACCTCGGTTCGCTCTTGCTGGATCGTGGAGATCTTGTTGTGGAGCACAGATCGCTCCTGGTTCAGGATGTCGTTGGAGGCTTTCAGTTCCTCGGTCTGTGCTGTCATCTTAAAATAAAAAAAGAAAATATGCTATCCGGGTTGCGATTTTTTTCCCCACTTAACGACATAACCGAATGGGGTGTACGCTATGAGGTTTTGGACTTTACTTCCCTAAAAATAGAACAAATATATATAAAGAAAAAAAGAGAAGAACTCGAACCTAATGAAATTCGGACTTTATTTCCCTTTAAAAAATCTTTCAAAGCCGCAAATTAGAAAAGAACAACGAATTGGAAAAATGTTGTATCGACCTCTAACCCTCTGTTCTAAAAACCATGTCATAATCCAGCTGAGCCATCGAAGAGCTCGACAGCAAACCGTAATTCATGGCATACCTGCGAATATTATATATCTTCGAACATGTCGTTTCCAATTTCACCTATTGCAAGGGACACCATAGTGCATTTGGCGTCGTCTGTCGTGCCTTTTTCTACAAATCTCGTCAATTGCATGGAGTGCACACTCATCAATGGATATTCATAAATGGCGCAAAAATGCATTGCATATGGCAACTTTTTGTTTTACTCATTTTAAGAGGCCTTATATCAAGGAATTTGCACAATGATCATCAAGGATGATAAACTACTGTGAGATATGCTGGTTCCTCTTTTCAGTTCACAAGTTAATAATTGTTTTGGCTATTAAGTATAATTTGTCATTACAATAGTTTAAGGATGGCTTCCTTGTGCAATTCTGTACCTTCGGAAAGCACAAAATGTACATAATAATTGGACGGTTTGCAAAAACGTTTGTAGTGCAACCTACCACTTTCATCTTAGCCTGCATCTCCTCAGCCAGTTCGCGATATTTCCAGCATTCGCCATCCAGGATCTCCACCTCTGTCTCCAATTTACCAAGGATCCTCTTGAGTTCGGCCTTTTCGGCGTCCGGTCGGCCAGGCGACTCCGGCTTCGGTTCCTGGTCGGTGCGAAACGAGGCAAGGAAGAGACACAATTTTTACAAGACATCGAACAATCTGACAAACGTATAGGAAAGGTCCAAAACCTTTTTCAGAATACGGCAAGACTGGAGGTTTCCTACATCAAGACGTTTGGTGTTCCATCAATGTTTAATAAAACAAAAATGGGTTAGGTCTGCTCTTTGAACGGAAGCGGCATAATGCAACAAAATACTGCACATGCAAAGCAAAGACTCTTTCGCGTCACTATTACGTCAGTTGGAGTTACCGTAGATTACTGAGCAGAATTCCTTCCGACACGACCGTGCAAAGACTTCAGAAAATCCACGTATGTGCATCCGAAGACCGTGCGCGTCATTGGTAACATAATGATTAGCATAACAGTAGCATGGTGTAAGATATTAGACGGAGTTATCTGGCAACATAAGACGTTGAGAATAAAAGGACATCTTCATGCTTGAGTGCAACAATCAAACAGGAGTTTGCTGACAACCTGTGTGACTTGTTGACCCAATACAACACTGGGATAACTAACAGACCGTATCGAATGGCTCCTTGTAACAAAACCACTACCTTATTGTAGGAGGGTCATCAAAAGGATGAATTCAGTGGTATCCAGAGGGAATACAAGATGCATGACGCCTGCCTCAAAATATGGCGATCAACAATGGGCTACTATATTCGATCTGAGGCGTATATCTTCCTCCCAGAGTTTACGCAAATTCATTGTCAAACCTTCTGACGACGTTCCATCAGTACTAGAGCTAGTGACTTCGACCCAAACTAGAGAGCATTTGTCAGAAAAAAATCCACAACTGCCAAAATTCATTCACGTGTCTACTCGCAAAACAGCAGTCTACAGTATTCCACAGTGTCTCGTCTCTCGAAAAGCTGGGGTTTTTTTTCAAACTATTCACAGAGAATATTACCAAAATTTCTAAGATCTGTGGAAGATTTTCAAGGTGCATGTCGACGTATGCCTACACCAGAAGTTAACGACCTTTTGGGTAAGAGAACCCCCAACTCGAGATATAACTTTTACTATTTTCCTTCAACGCATCAATAGGGTCGAGGAGGTCAACAGCGACTCGAGCGGCTGTCAATCGATGGAATAACCACAATCTGAGATCTTCCAGAAACTCCATTACCGGTTGGGAAACTGGATATCTCGACGATATTATTGGCTGCTGGGTGAGTCATCGTATCGCGTGAAGTGTGAAAATTAATGGTGTCGATTGGACGGGGGAAGTCACAAAGGGTCGTGTGGCGTACGTGACGCGAACGCGAATTGCGAACGGCATCGAGATGTCTAGAGGTTGATAAGTGATGAAAGAGGTGGGGACATTTTAAAGCCAAAAGGAAGGAATAAAATGACTATCGCTTCAATCAAAGAAGTTCCACTGAATAACGGATTATGAATAAAACGGATTCGTCGGTGTTGACTGCAAAGCAGTTGAAGGGGTTGGAAATTTTGAGTTGTAGTTCACACCTCAAAAGCAGACTATAGGCCTAATGAAAGCAACATAGGTGCATAAGGGCAATTCAACGGTTACTCACGTTACATTTTCGTAACGTGAGTAACCAATTTTGTGTGTCTTGTTTATAATACATAACACATTTTTCTGGATGTAATCTTTGGTGCTTAGGTAGGTCTAGGTCTACGCTATCTATCATGGGGATAACAGTTATTAAACCTTTTCAGTAAGGTAATTACAGCCCAAGGAAACTCAAGTACATCAAAAATGTAACGTGAGTAACCGTGGAAGTGCCGCTAGCTAAGTGAATGGGTGACTGTGTATGATTGTTTCTATCTCTATATAAGAAGCAATATAAGTGAACTATCTTTCTCTCCTGTGGCCCTGTGTTTTTTTTATACGTAGGCCTATCTCTTATCAGTTCATCTAAGTGTATAGTTGTGAGTGCAATGTGCATTTTCAGAGAGGATCTGTTTCTGGCTTCTTAGTGTAGATCGATATGACTGATTCAAATATTTTGTCCTTCGGAGTGACACACGGTTTTCACTTCAATTTACCCTTCAATTTATGACAAGCCTGTAAATTTAACCTTCAATTTATGACAAGCCTGTAAATCGAATGCTTGTCTCTTGATAATCAAGATCAAACGAGTTAATTTGAAACTTCCCGTGAAAAAAAAGGTGTTATTTTGGATAGCTCCGAGTCTCATGCCAAATGATCGCAGTCTTCGACTTGTAGCATATACTACTTGCAGTGAGTGTCACAAAATGACCGATGGGACTGATTCAAATGATTCATGTCAGTCGCTTGATTTCATTACTTCCATTGAGTCGTTTATCAATATTATTCGTGTACTTTCACTTGACCTTGACATCATCAATATTGTATCGAATCAATTTCACGTTCGTTTGAGGAGCAATATGTGTGTGGTTTACGGACATGGAACCATTCATCTTGAATGACGGAATCCTTAAAATGCAGTTGACTGAAATTTGAAAAGGGATATTTAGGCGTTGATTTAGAATCTTTCGAAAACACCGGGGAAATACATGTACATTTAGGAAAAAAACGTTTTAAAGAAGAAGGATTGCAGTTCGTTTGCAGTTCGTGGAGATAAATGTTAATCTTACAGCTGTTTCCGATTGCTTTACGAAAAGAATCTGGATCCAATGTAGTTGGCAGGTCTTCATGGTACCTTTGCTTTAATTTTAAACCTTATTTTTATAGGAAGGCTGACATCAGGATGTGATGATGCAGTGTGAATACACGGAAATTAACATTTACTCGGTAAGCACATTCATCCTGGAAGAAATGATTGGTTAGGTATGATAACATGCAGTCATCGGGACCCTGGTACCCTCATTCAAACAAAGGTAAACTTTGCCGGTACCAAAACCCCCAATCAAAGTGCGTTGGTCACAGCTCTCTGATTGGATACATTTTCAATCGGTGAACCATTGTCTATTTTTTTCCGTGTGCGTATACGACATGCACGCATGCTACCCACAAAGCTTTGCAAAGTCCGCATTTCCTTCGCAAGATCTGTGACCTTGTGGGTTCTTTAAGAGCAGATAACGAACCACGAAAGTTTCGTGTTTATACGTCTTTTCCTGCCGTTGCGGTAGCAACCACGTCGGGTTTGGTCAGGACGAATTCATTAGTAGAATGGTGGTCAGGTTATGGTTTTCACGACATAGTTTACCCTTTTGCACCCCAAAAGCTTCTAATACCCCCAACCAACCCCATGAACAATGAAAGCTCGGTGTTGTAAAATGGTGTATAGGCCTACCCTTTTTCCAGCCGTCGCGGTAACCACACGTTGGGTATAAACATATCTTTTATCAGACCTTACTGTAATTATTGTTACGGTTACCAGAACACAATTTATCACTCTTAGTTAACAAACCAAATGATTAGTTCAATCATGGTAACACAGTTTACCAAATCTATTAAACACATCAAATGTATTAAACAAACCCATCGAACTACGAAAAGCTTGGTGTTGTACCTCTTTTCCAGCCGCCGCGGAGGCCGCTACGTCAGGTCGGGTCTGCAGGTCCTCCATCTTCCGTTTGAGCTCGTCCAGCCTCTTCGACAGCTCCGCCTTCTCCCTCCGCCAGGCCATCGTCTCCATCTTCTTCTGCAGGTCGGCGCTCTCCCGCTCGAAGACGGAGCGCTTCTCCGCACGGTCCTTCTCGTCCAGAGTCTGTGGTGGGGATGGTGCGGCGGGTGGAGGAAGTGGTGATGGTGGTGGTGTTGGTGGTTGTGGTGGAGGTGAGACGGGAGGGATGGGGGAGGTGAATTTCTTAGCGTACTGTCAAGTCGTTTTTTGAGGGTTTTTTTATTGAGAGTTATTGGTGTATTGGTGTTCCCGTGGTTTTGTAGATTTCACAAATGAAATTTTACATCATGCATTGAGCAAAATAAAAGGTTTAGGAACAAAGTGGTGTTTTATAGTGTTTTCATGATTTTGAGTGGAACGGTTTTAGCACAAGACAATTGGATATCATATGGCAATGGTGTTGTCGCAGTTTTTATTGGGTGTCGAGACAGTGTAAGATCAGGACAACGTATACGGGAATCAGGCGGCACGGTGGTGTTTTGAAGGTGTTCACAAAGTGTTGGCCGGGCGTAATACAGCACGAGAAACAACAGTAACGAGGACATCCGTTCATTGGGTGCATGCAGGTTCCGTGAGGGTGACGATTGGGCACCAGACATCATGCGATCACATCAACAGGTGGACAAGACATATCCCACATGGGAGAGACAAGCACGTGGTGGCCGGTCCGAGATTGGTCAGGTACACAAACGGTGACGTCAGGTAAACCATCGATCACACAACGGTCAATCGTTTAAAAACAGTGCGGTGTACGGATCGGTAGACGGAGAACATGCGTGTGAGTAGGAAAGACATGAACAATCATAAACCGGGTTAGTGCTGGTTAAACAGTATAACGATTAGTGGTTAGGTTTAAATAGGTAATAAAAACATACACAAGACAGGTATTGTACTAACCCGTGGTGGGCGATTCATGTTAGTTAGACACCGGCATGTGTGTGTGACAGACGACTGATGGGGTGGGGACTATCGGACTTATGTCAAGGGGGGCATGGATACAGTATGACACATAGCTGGAGATCTTACGGCTATTGCCGGGTGCAGTACGTTTCGAGACCTAGGGCCGGAAGCCTTGCCTTAAAGGCGAGTCATGCTTTCTGGAAACTTAAAAAAAGGTTTCTCGGAAGGAAAGGTAAATTTTACGGTTGATCCGAATCGTGGGATCTTGGTGCTATATAAAGCAGTAGTCAGGCTCATACTTTCTCCTACATCTTTCAATCTTAGTGACGACAAATGAAGCCATTATTGTAGATTCAATGAGTTTCATGCCATGATATTGACATTCAAATTAGTTTTTAAAAACTGAAACAGGTCATTCGGTGATCAGGCAAGGCTTACATAAGGGACTGTAGATGTGACATGCAATCAGCATGCTATACAAAATCAATTTGCCAAAATACTTATTTGTAATAGAGGAAGCGCAGTCCGGTACAAAAAAATACACTCTATTAGTCCTAGAGTCGGTGAAGTCACACAAATGTTATGCATTGACAACGCTCTTAGTGAAGACTTTAATAAAATCATCGCATACGGTATTCAAACCTTTTGATATACTAGGAAAATATACGGCCTTTATAATTTAGATAACATTCACAATGCACAGCAACTAAAATGACATCATCAATGGATCTGGACAAGACCTCAAAAGGTTGAACACCTCATCTTTTTTAACCCAAATACTTCAAAAAGTGATCCCGACAACAACACTTATTTCCCCCCGTGCCAAACACTAGCCCACGCGGTAAGGCCCAATGCCATATAAATACATTCTGACAGTCTTCCTGGCCTCCTATTTGAGACGTTGCAGCTATTTAAAGATTATGTACCGACAGAGAGAGGAACTTCTCACTTAGTCTGTGGGGCGAGTATAGGATGGATTGCATCTGAGATAATACGCTCTAGAACTCTGTCTAGGGAGCCGTGTTACCGGGCGGGTTGCTATTTTGGTGAGGCACAAATAAAACCCAATTCTCTTTGGGTTATACATGAAACAGTTTTAATGCAATTACAAAAATCTGTTCTTTGTTCTTTGGCTGATCCAAAAGAGTAGAATAGCGATAGTGGGCATGCTGCATTTAAGGCCCCTTAAAGGGATAATGACTGCCAAAGACAGCACCTTTTATCCATATTGAAAATGTATCTTTTATCCAACTAACCAACTGGCATTTAAAATTGGCTGTTAATATTTCTGAGGTAAAGCTTGTATGGATGGGTGCCATCAGGATCGCTTCTGCAACTTTGATCCTTTAAATTATTCAAACGATTCACAAGATACAAAAAAAGTTGACAAAGATCTCCGCAATTATAGATTTCTTTTTAAGACGGGACCGAGTTGGAAGTTTCATTTTGTAAGTAAATCGATTTTTTATTTTTTATTTCGAGGCTTACGAATACATTATGTTTGCGAGAAATCGATTCTGAACTTCATGAAAAGTCCTTTCGAGGCAAACGCTTGCTGGCGCACTTTTTTACGAATGACCCGGTCATATTTTTGATCACATGAGGGCGCTATAACGACTCCGTTTTCGTTTATGATAGCAACATGTAAACTAACATCAATAACCTTGAATTCACAGAAAAGATGGAACTGTATAGAAAAGATGGGACTAACCTCGGCTAAGCGGCGTTCCATGTCTGTCTTCTCCTGGGCGAAGCTTTCCTTCTCCTGCGCGAGCTCAGTGGTCAGATCATCGATAGCTAGATGACATTCGGTCAACTGTGTTACCAAACAAAACCAACAGATCAGTGTTGAAGCACAGGGAAGGACACCAATTCTGGAATTTGTATTCCTGTGGAGACATTTCTTTGTTCTCGTGTAGTAAAGTGTTCAATTTTGAAAGTGAAGTTTCAAAATGCTCTTATTTTAACCAGAATTAGTTTCCTTGGCTGAAATTTGGAATTAATATCCCTTTTCTAAAACTCTTCCATTTGCGACACATCAACCCACCTTGGAAATTCCTAGTTTTTTAGTAAAATCCATATATCTATTTCGTGAAAAACTTGTGGGGTACCAAAACGGTACCCCGCAAGTCGGTGGGCATTCCTTGTGGGGTACCTCCCATTGTTCCGGTACCCCACAAGGCAGTGTTTGTACACGCACACATCCTTACATACATAAACTCTTCTTTTGTTCTCCTTTTTTCATATTGAAATCTCAAACTCCGTAGCGTTTCCCTTATGGGGAAGAAAGACTTCCTTATGGGGTCTATTGTTCTACTGCGTCTTCTACCCCATATAAAGGAACCATGTACATGTACATGAGATCTTACGCAGGTTATTTTCTGTGGCACATAACCTTGGATACTAACGTGACGAACGTGAGTTATCAGGCAGACTTAACGTGACAAACGTGAGCGAAATCACCTTCCTCATATTCAATCATAGGTGAGGCGTGTCACAAAATGAATTCAGCCTGTACTATACCGTAGTACATGTTCAAAGTTTCAAATCTTATTTACACCACAAGATGTTAATAATAATCGAGAACAAGCTTTTCATTGGAGATGAAAGCGATGACCCAGTTTATTCTGCACCAATCAAGGCGTGATCACTGACAATCGATGCGAAAGGTATAGATCTGCGATTACCAGTAATTTGTCTCACAAGTTATCATTACGCACACAGACTTACCAGGTCCCGTGAGATAGGTTGTCAAGTTTGACACACTGTGCCTGACTTGCGCAATGGTTTCAGAATATGAATTATTTCTGAATCCAGATTATTCTGTATATAGACACCTGCGATGGAAGATCAGGACAAGCCTCGGTGGAAGATCCAGGCCTGTGACCAGTCTGGTGACCTTTATCCCAAGAGCAAGATGTCACTCGTGTCAGGTAACTAGAAATGGGATACCGGTAAGAGGCGTCTTGGTACAAAACATCAAGAACAAGGAGATGACACACCTTTGATCAAATGGTAAGTAGCTCTCACATACTACGTTCTTTCACTACAAAACCGAAGCGCAGAAGAAACTGAACGAAACCACCAGATGTCGAATAACGCTGACCGTAGAAGCCCATCAGCACAAGCAGCAGCTCCCGTCTGCTGAAGTATATAAACAGCGAGGAAGACCTCTCGATGGCATAACGGTGTCGCTTTCGAAAAACAGCGAATTCCAGAAACACCGCCAGACGCAATTTTCGTGTGGTGTAATGACCCCCTACGTCTCATGCAAAGTTCAACGGTAAGTGCACTTATTGGACGGCGGCCGGCCGTTAAGCATTCGGGAGGGAATAAAGTGCAATGTGATAAGTATCGATCACACCTTTCTATTGGCCGTTTTAACGTCAGATGCAAGTAGGTTGTTCTTTTATATAGGAAAAATATATCTCATTAAGTTTTGTATGCTACAATGTTGTATGGTTTTCATATAAGTTCCTGGTTTGGTAATGGATCATTCACAAAAAAGTACAAGAAAATTTAAGACTTACGACGCTTAATGTAACATGAGTTGTAGGAATATTAATTAAAGATTACTGGCGCATGAAATATTTATTCACAAACTTTACCTAATGTATCATAAGGGTAAATATTGGTCAAATTGGGTTCCTAGATCATTATGATTGTAATCAAAAATGAATGCGAAGAGATGAAACAAAATGAGGCAGCTATCTCCGGTATCTAAGATTTTCAGGAATCAAAACATTTTGTCCTAAACTGATTAACATAATAAAAGGTTAACAACGTATGTTTAATTAAACACAAAATCTGCCATACATATCAAAACGATTTCAAGGTAACTTTTGGAAGACTTCACCACATTCTTGAACGTTTGCGAATATTTCTTTAACATCTTTTTATAACTCCTCCGCGGAATGAAGGATGATTGAGCAAATTGATGGCGCGAGGCGGGGGGCACCCGGCTGACATTTCGGCTTCAGTCTCTGACAGATCACGTGTTCCAAAGATCCGTATCAGATATAACTAAGTCTACAGGAAACAGCAGCAAGCGAAAATCTTCACTATCAGTCTGGAGTATACAATATCATCTACCAAGCACGGTCGTGGGCAAGTTCAGCGGTATCCTTTGCTTAGTGATCACATCTTCAAGGTTCCTCAATTATCGCATTATGATGAGACATCGACAATTGTTCAGTCTGTTCGACAGCCGGATGACGGGAATCCTTTGCCTGCAGACGTGTTCATGACAGGTTCACAAAGGACAGAGTCCTCGTCATCAACCGGAGCTCCAAGATCTTTCGGCTGATCACAGTGAAGAGTAAAGCTTGGTATGCCTTTTTTCTCCGCTTGTCTTCATGCACCAATATGTACTGCACTATGACTTATAAGATGCTGAACCACACGTATTTTTTGTATACTCGCACTGATCACTCGAGAACAATTTTCCGAATCCAAATGTGCCCAGTTACAACTCAGCAGTTATTTAGCTGCTCGTGTAGTCGATTGCATCGTTCTTTCCTCGTTCTTGCACCCACCAAAAAGTTGTCAATAACACCAATCTTCAAACATATTTCGAAGAGAATCAAAAAGATATACACTCTTTTGCTGCAGACGTCGGCCTACTTTAACTCGGAAACTCTAGGTTAAAAAACTGTTAACAACTGCACCAAAGAACCTTTGCTGTTTTCAAACACTTGCCACGGTGAAACCACTGCATATTACTGTACCATGTAGCACTAACAAACAGCAACATTATTCAATAAGTCAGTTTCTCAAAATCGCTGCCGGCTATTCTTTCCTCCATGCACAGTACCTCCGCTCATTATTGAAAAGGTTTTACTAACTGAAAGAATATAAAAGGTATGACGTTTTTTGTTGAAGAAGTAGGCCCATGCCTCCTTTTAACTCAGCAACATTAGAATGTCACACTTTTCCCAGCGACTCGTGGTTTGCGGAATACAAAGCTTTCTTTACAACCAAGCTATACCTTTCTTGTCCGATATAGTACCGACAAAACTTGGCTGCCGACACAAACAGGCACTTTCCAAAATGAAACCAACAGGTAAGCTAGCAATGTACCATGTAACAATAACAAACAGGACCACTACAGAGCGTATCGCTTTCTCAAAATCGCTGTCGGCTAGCACCTACGCTCATTGATACACAATGCGGTTATGTGACTCGAAAGTTTCCAGAGGTCACAACACTGCTACAGGATTACAAAGTTTGCCTACGGCAGAGTTAGTAGAACTTGCGCTAAGAATCTCTTGAAGAACTGTTCTCATACAATAACCAATCGGGAAAATCCAGATTCGAATTGTTCTTTTACTGACAGTTTCATAATTATACAAGCCGCAAAAGTCTATGAGAAGTTTAGGCATTTTGAAGCCTTGCAATCTTTGGCATCTATCATTAATCAGAAAAAGGGCTGGATAAAAAAAAATTGAGTGAAGTTGGTCGTGATACCTTGACATTGAGAAAGCCTATTTCGGCAACTTCGGCCACCGGATTTTTTTTCTGAAACAGTGGCCCATATATTTTTGAAGTGGCTATTCTGAAAAGGGGACAATATTATCACTAGCTGCCATAACACGAAGTGCCGGAAAGCTCAACTTTTGCTAAACAGATCCAATGCGCATTATGATTTTGGTCAAAACTGACTGGTATAGTGCAATATCAACGCCGAAATGACGACACAGTGCTTGTATCAACAAGAAAACAATATCCAGGAGAGGTATCGAAAAGTTTTCAAAATAAGATCAAGTGGTAATATTGGTAAATAAGTATCTCTATTAGAAGACAGATTAATTTGACCGAAGGGGCTGAAAGTATAAGGAGTAGATCGAATTTCTTATTCTCTAAAAAAACAAAAACCTAGAAAATGGAAGCGTGGGCAGTAATCGTGCTTTCACGATCTATCTTCACATGGTTTGCCAATGGGCATGGCATAGCAGGCACGGCCCGTACCGACTGCACAAACGTGAAGTAGCGGTGAATCCAATTATAGGCCTACAGGATATCATTGAAAGGTTACAAGCTGACTCACATACACCCTAGAATAGGCTAACCTGGGACTTGACACAGAGACGAGCGTATTACATGTCAGAGTTACAGGGAATTTAGTTTCTAAAGATTCCTATCACTTTGAACACTGTACAAATCTGACACCAAATGGATAACCTAAATTTACTTTAACGTAATTTGACAGAGATTTTCATCCCAAGTCATTCAATAACTTAAAAAAGTGTTCAATTGATTGCTTTGAGTCCTAGAAAAAAAAAGCACCTGACAAGTACCTTTTGACGTTCGTTATTCAATGATTTTTCTTCTATAAACCAGGTTCACAACATTAATGTCAGTGAAAAATGAGACAAGTCGATCCGCAGTGGCGTCATCGACGTATAGTACCTTATATTGCAGTTTGTTATGATTATGATGCAAGAGCCCACGTCACTGACACCAGACTATTTACATCAACATTGTTTTAAACTATGATGACGCAAATGGTGCACAGGAACTATTAATCATTTATCATGACGTTGATCATACCATAATGTTACCAAACCATTTATGTTTGTCAAAAGAAAGAAATCTAATGCATGCACGTAAACGTTCTGCACATTATGCTATAAAAAGGCTTAGCACTTCCTGCCTGTTACAATGAATCATCAGAAGATTAACGACTGTCAGTGGCCGGAAATTAGAATTAAGTACATTGTTGGATAAGCGTGTCAAGACTTTTTCAAGTACCGATTTCTTTGTTAAGGTTTAGGCTGAAAACGTTCTTTCATTTTAACAAGTAAATTAATAACATAAGTTTATCACAATTATGGAATTTTTGGTTTTCGTACTTGACAGTTTCATTATGCCATGGCAAAGAAATGTACTAAGCACAGAAAATATTTGCTTGCCAAAACAGGTAATCAGCCAAAATGCCATGAGATATATACTGCTTGTCGCGGGTACTCAGCTGATTTTCATTGAGCTTACAAATCTGCTTAGTAAAATACTTGCTGCTCAGAAAATAGTGAAATAGTTTAACCTCTGACCTCAAATCGAAGCAGCTCCTTCTCCCGCTCCTTGTAGGCCGCGTCCTCGGACTGGCTGACCTGAAGCCCGCCCTCGGCGTCGACCCCAGACGAGGTTGACCCCCCGTTCAGCATCTCGGCTTTCTTCTCAGCGACCCGGCGCCTCTGCCGCTCCTCGGCGAGCTGTGACTCAAGGTGCGCAATGCGGTCCTTAAGACATTTCTACAGAGCCAAAATCGGAAACACGGTGGTGTTAGTTTTGATACAGTCCTGGTCCAATATGATACTGGATTTGAATTTGGTATTTGGTACCCTAATGTAGCCGGTAGAGGGCGTCATTAACAAGATAAAAAACGCCCTCTGCCGTCACAACTACTTGACCACATTTGCCAGGGATCGGGGCCGGCTGCAGTAAGGGAACGAAATTCAAATCCAGCTTTGGAGCAAGACTAAGTTTGAGAGTGACCCGTGTGAGCCTTTAAGAACAAAGCACTGTGGACATGCAGTTTAAGAGACGGGGGAAGACGAGGAAATGACTCAAAGACAGCTGGGTGATTTTGGAGGGGAAAGGGCTGCTTCCAAATCCCGCCAACGATAAGTCTCGGGTGGTTATCTTTGGGAGTCAACTGACTAAGAAACAGGTGGTATCAGTCACGTGTTACCATCTTGATCATGTTCCAAGACGGGGAGGGTAAAGTTTATACGAATTTGAAACCAAAAATGAGAGTCCTTTTAGTGTGAGCACCAGATCAAATGGGATACAGTTTTAGTCTGCAGATTATCAAAAGCTTCAAACCGTATATAAAAAGTGGTCCATTCTTAATTTTCATTTCAAAATCCAGGAGGGGAATAAGCGGCTGGAGCCCCCTACTACTTCTTTGCTTGATAGACCCATCTTAACCCTGCCCTAATGTCTTGTCTGTGAAAACGCTAATCTGAGGAAGCTGATTGTCTTCTTCAGCTGTTTTGAAAAGGCCGCACTGTTCCTCAGTTTTCTCGATTCGCCCTCCTTCATTCATAATATTTGACCCTGATTATTTTTTTCCTAAAGGTGCTAAAGCCCACTTGTTTTAACAGTGAGAGACATTGGATATTTGGATGTGGATCTGCTTCTAGCTGACAGGACGAGGCTAATCTTTAACGACGCCAGAACGATAACACCTGACGCCACAGTTGTCGGGAAATCACTCATCGGCTTTCTACTGATGTGACTGTTGCTTAATTGAATGACAGCGCCATTTCGTACGTCATGTTCTCTCGCGAAATTGGCTGAAACTGTGAGGGCGGTAGATAACTTGAATGGCTTCTATCGCAAACCATAGGCATCTTTTTGCACCTAGTCCTGATGGGTCTATGTGTTTTGGGGCCCGAAGCCCTGCGTCGTACTGCTGACATGTTACGGAAAACGCATCATGCGACCGCCTCCCAGGCCTGATGCACCCACGATCATGTCGTAAGTGTGATCATAATTTGGGGTCAGCTATGAGCACGTGATGCAGTTCTTCTCATTGTGTATTTATGACACTGTATAGGCATACTAAAATTTCGTTCGATCCCAGGATCTACCAACAGAGGGGCTGTTGACTTTGACTTTGAAGCGCCCTCATGAGGCATTTAATGATTTTCACGTGAAGTCACAAACTGGAAGTCGACAATTAGTTTGGCAGGCTGGCGATGACGGAATATTTAAGGCCACACACCGACAAGTTACAAGAGTTCCCAGCTTGAATCAGTACACAGTTGAAATATTATGCTTCTCCGCAATTGCGCCCTCTATACCATAGGATGGTGAAGAAGGGTTCTCTGACGTCTTAGCAGGTACCTATTTAAACAGGTTGACTTTCCACAATGCGTCTTTTTGTCGACTCATATTCTGATAATTTTGGTTACAACACATTTTCCACTTTGGGAGATGTTCAAACATTTTTTTATAAATATTACTTATGATGAAATGCCTTTTTTTGCACAATGAAGATCGCAGGTATCACACGATACGCTTCAAATTGAATAGTTGGGAACACAATCCCCATCCTTCAGTTGAAATACCTATGACCAAAATATGGACTAAAATGGTAAGGCAGACACTTCTAATAGACACAAGACATAATGACGTCGCGCTTTATTTACATGGGAGCAAGGTGGGGACGCCAGCCAATCGCCCCACCTGGCTTCCATAGGAAAGCGCACATGTAAACAAAGCATGACGTCATTATGTCTTAGGTCGATGTAATTCTTTCAGACTACATATGGGGCATTTAATAGGTTTGTGCTCCAAAAACAATTACAGGTACAATGCGCAACCTTATAGAGCGCATATCACTGTAAGGTCCCAATACAATCTCAGTTTGACCCGACACTCACCTCAAAGTTGACCTTGACCTCGGTCTTAACCTCTTGTTCCTCAAACACATCATCGGATGCGACCTCGCTCCTCTGAAACTCTTGAACCTCTCTTCCAACCTCATCTCGTCCCGGCTCGACCAGCGCGCAGGCGCGCCTGAGGTCCTCCACCAGTTGCTCGGACCGCTCCTCGGAGATGCTGAGGCGCTGCTCCAGGATGTCCTTGTCGGTGCTGAGGCTGCTGAGGCGCTGCTTGAGGTTCTCTTTGAGGTTGACGTTGTCGGCGCGCAGCTCCTCAGCCTCTTGGCGGACTTGCTGGAGCTCTTTCTCCTGCTGTTCCTGTGTGACTTCTTTGCTCTTGATGACAAGAAGTAGGTCCCCTAGGAAACAAAAGAAATGCAAAATAATACAATAATCTTAGCACTTTTTTAATCATAATTTTGAAATATTGTGTCCATGGCCTTTTCAATTGTAGCTAAAAGTGTTCTGGTGAAAATTTAGGTCATTTGCATCGCATCCATCTTTGAGGTGGGTGTTCCTCAGAGATAAGTATAACCTGTTTGACTTTATTGTTACCGAAAAACCCAAACAAGTATAACCTGTTTGACTTTATTGTTACCGAAAAACCCAAACATTGCTGCCGAATGCAAAGAGTCCATACAGAGTCGTCGTCAAGCTTACCCTGTAAACAAAAAGTTGGGTAAAATACTGGTCGGCAATGTTATTTGCCCAACATTGGTATGAAGTTTACCTCAATCATTATTGGTTAATTTGTGTAAAAACTAAACCAACTATTGGGAAGAATTTGCCCAAGAGTGTAGGCAAATGGTATGTTGACCAACATTGGGCAAACTATACCAACCCATTTAAGTTTAACAAACGCTTGTTACACCATACGTCAATCACAAGTCACCAAGTCGCAAGTCAGGTGACCAGATATTGGTATGATCTGTGACATAGGTATTTCTATATAATGTTTATCACTTCTGGGCCTAGGCCTGCTCGTGCTTTGATCTGTAACTTGACTTGTGATTGACTTTATTGTAAGTGACTTGTGATCTTACTGTGACTAGTATTATGATTAACTTGGTATTGGACATGTGATGGACTAGTTGAAACTTCAGTGCAACAATTTATGGCCGACGTCAGACTTTGGTTTCAATCCAATGCATTTGTAGACAAACTACCAACACGAATTCAGTGTTGCAATGGTTCAAGGCACATGTTAACCTTGTTCTGTTTTGTTTTGGTATAATACCAGAGTTAAGCTGACATATCGATAACGACAGGTGACATGTGGTACACACAAACGGCAAAGCGATCTGGCCAGCAAACATTAATACATAATTGATGTCAAAGCTGTGTACCACAGATGGCAGAAGCATTTTCCAAGCCTATTTCCCAGCAGGGATGCGCTGCGTTTTGAAAATGTCATCAGCAACGTCTTGTCTGTATAAATAATATTAAGTGACAACGACGGCTGTTGCATGTCCGCACAAAGTTTAACATTGGTATAAGCTGATCAAGACGGGTATCAGTGGATCGCTGAATGGAACAGACGTATGGAATTAAAGCTGCAGATGCGCAATATCTGCATGGTATTTCAGCAACTCTTGCAACGATAAGGAGTGAACGGAATATTTTCGGAATTCTTTTGGTGGAGCCTGAGGTTGCTACGGCCAGGACTAATTACGGCACACGTTGCTGCAATTAAATCACGCGTCCCCCGGAAGCATCGATACCTTATCCGATTCGTACAGCAGATTACGAGGGGTTCTCGTGTTGTGCTTGTGACGTCAGCCGCATTGCATGACGGGATACTATCTCAAAAATTGACGTGACAGGTTCTCCTGGGGGAGAGTGGAAGATAACTTATATGCGCCGTTTGAGGGCGTGCTTTATCAATTACGGAAGCTAGGCCAGCAGGATTGTGAGTCACGTCTAATCATTTTAACAAAACTGTGTTGACATTAGAAAATTCTTTAAATAGTGCTCTCGGCAAATATCCACATGTATATTGCTCTATCTAGTTAGTCCTCTATGAATATTTTTGCTTTAGGAAGTATCTAATAGTTTCTTTTAGCAAAAATAAATGTACTGTGTTCTATTTTTTTCTCAACTTTGAACATCCATATTTTTTTGCTTGTAAAGGTTTTACTGAAAGAACTTGAAGCAAATATCAACATCGAAAACATACAATTTATACAATAACTGTCAAACGTTTTTTAGAGAAATAATCACAGCTGTTTTTATTGACAACAAAATCTATAAAAATACAAAATGTTCCAGTGCAACAAACTTAATGTGCAAAAAATGTATAATGGTGTGAAAAACATGAAAATTTGGGCATTTCACAGGTTTTGTGAAAAGTCCTAAAGTCACAGCAAAACAATTCGATTTTTTATTTCACTTCGCCTATTACCTTTAACTTTTGATAATTTTCACATTATTTAATTTTAAATTGGTATATACGTACTTTTTGGGTGTCGCACTTTGAAAAATAAATTTTCAAATTGAATTGATAATTTTCTAGCATTAGGCCTACACTAGTTATGAGCTTTCCAATAAGACATTGCACGAAAAACTCGGCCCATGACAAGTAATCAATTTATTAATTTCAACTTTTGAAATAAGAGCGGGTCGCTCCTAATTCATTCTGAATAGTGTGCGCATTTTCTGAACTGGAGCGCGCCATTTGAAGCTAATTTTTAAAACTGTATAAAGGCCTGCTAAAACAGAGAAGCAAATTTATTTATTGCAGGAAAAAAAACAAGCAAATTTATTTCTTACAGGACATTATATTCATTAAAATTGTGTTAAGAAAAGGAAATCGAAATTCTGAAAAAGCACGTATATACCAACTTTAAGCGGATATCATTATAGGAAAGATATGAAAGAACTTGAAAGTATTCGTGGAGCATTTCCGGGAATAACTATAAATGGTCCAATACCCTACACACGCATGCGCATTGTACCGCAGGGGAATATTAAACGGGAAATAAAAATCGTGGTGATGGATCATTATCACACCGTGCATTGACGTTCGAATAAACACTTTTTCCTTTGGCTTTTAGCCAACCAGAAAAGTTGGAAGCTATGTGACATTTATTATGCTATGTTGGATTAATTTCCACATCACTGGTATGGGGAAGTTAACGGCCACTTTTGCTCATACGTACAGCTGTTTTTGGAATACAAACCATTTCTAGAAAAAAATCTTTTGAAATTATACTTTACACACGAAATCAATCTGCCCCACTGCCAACTTAAAAATAGAATAGATTTTGCGTTTATCAAATACTTGAAGTTCAATGTTATCCCACATTTTTCATAATGGTGTATGCGCAAGACGAAGCGAACCAGCGATTGTTATCTGTGCACTTAAACATTCTACTTTAAAATGCACTATAGTTGCTCCTGTACATCAACAACGATTTCGAAAACCGATTAACGTTTTGAACTTGGGGATAATTTTGTAGGAATAGTTTTGATGGACTTTCGTCTATCCCGTGCTGCCTAGAATCCATGACATTTGGTACATTGATGCAAGGTGGACACGAAAGAAAAAGAGGGGAAAATACTGTATTATTCTTGCGGTCCAATTCGTAACGAAAAAGCAGACAAACGAGGCCTCCTTTCCCTTTGTATAATTCGACTTTCCGTTTGAGAAGATTCTGCAAGAGCCAAAATGTCTAGCCTTCTTACTGTTATTATTTTTAATTCGACAAATATCTTGACACAAAGCTAAGAAAGCCATGGCATCGCCAGCGGGCAGGGCACACTAACCATGAGAAGTGATTATTCATGTTGATACAAAGCATTAACCTGTGATTGCACAAGCAACTGGCAAAGCAGTCCACAAATTGTGTACTTCCTACATCAACGTTTGTTGCCCCCTTGCCAAGTTCCTTAACAGAAGCTTTGATTTGATAACGTCTCAAGAACAGATATAGGAATGAAAATCTGGGATTTGGGTCAATTTCAGGCAGTTCCTTTTGATCGGTGATCGGGGTGATATTACGGCATTAAGATAAGCTGTGGATGTATCAAGAAATGTTGAGAGATGTATACTAAAGGTTGACTCATTGACAAGTTTTAAAAATGTGCCACAAAATTATTTCGAAAGGAGTCACTGGCGTTGATTGACCAAAAAAACCACCAACGATAGTTTCCAGGGAAGAGGATAAGAACAATCACAGGATAACATGTTTAGGCTTCACAAACCATCTAGGCCGAAGAAAAACATCTATACAAAAACATCTTGACATATCACCTTGTCAACATTTTCCTTCAGAGATACCTAAAATAGTTTGGTACTCTCTTCGGGAACACACACACTTTACCAAGGCAAACTTTGCGGTCATTGTGTGACATTCTCGCCAGGATCTTTTGCATGAGACAAATGTGATGGAACAAGTGTAAACCTTTGGTGGCTTGGCAGGTGCCATTTGAAAACTTTCTCAGGGCACCTGCATATAGAAGGGCCATTTTAAAAAACCTTTCTTAAAAAATTAACTGGTTGAAGGTCTGGGATTCTAGTTTTATAGGTGCAACTATCACACACGAGTTTTGCGTTACTTTGCCAATCTAAACTCGGCATGAACGCGACAAAAGCACCAGTCACTCTCTCTATGTAATCTTTAACAATTTAAGCTAAATCCAATCAGCTTTAAAACTCTAGTACATGTAATGTTCTACAAACCTAGTTCCTCTTGTAGCGTCCCGATCTGACTTTGTAAGACCTGTAGCCGTTCGTTGTCCACCTCTGACGCGGTCGATGACGTGGACTCCTGCCTGGTGACCGGCTCGGGTTTGCGTTCTTTCTCGGAGGCCGTCAGTGCTTTCTCGGCGGCTACTTTCTCCGTGAGGGCCCTCTCTGCGGCTTCCTCTAGACGGTCGTTCAGCTCCTCTAGACCCACGAGCTTCCTCCTCATCGAGTCGGCTTCTGTCTTCAGCAGCGCGATCTGCGAGCGCAGTTTGTGCTCGGCACCCTTCACTTTCCCCTTCCCGTGCTCCTTTGCGCCGGCGATCTCACTGAGCTTGCGCAGGCTCTCCGTCTCCAGCTGAAGGCTTCGGTTCTCGAACTCGGATTCCACCAGGCGTCGCTTGAGGGAGGCAATGACCGTCTCGGTCTTCATGCGTTGGGCCCGCGGGTCCTCCGCACCTCCATCCTCGGGTTGGGCTTTGGTGTCGCCCGCTGCTGGGTACAACGCGTTGAGTTCCTCGAAGGTCTCCAGTTTGACCCGGAGAGCCTCGTTCTCGCGAAGCAAGTCCTCCAGCTGTCGCTTGAGGGCGCTAGAGTCGGCCGCCATGTCCTCGTCGGCGTCGCTGAAGCGACGTCTCTCATCAGCTCCTGCCGAGGCTTCTGCAGCTTTGCCTGGGAAAAACAATATGCGAATTTAGTTTGCTTTCATGTTATAGATGCAACGACTTTTTTTGCCTTTTGAAATTGGAACAGAAAGTATAAAGACCATGCGTTATTATTGGTGCTCTTGACAACCCCAGTAGTTGAATATTCTGTAGGCCGAACCACTACAGGATATGTTTTTAAGATCCTAGGATTAACTTGAAGTTTTCTTTTTAATTTAGATGAAAAAAAAACGGTCTTTGAATTTATGAGAAGAAATTCTTGCATGGCCCTTTAAGGCGTTGAGCAGGAAGCTGGAACTTAACTTCAACAACACATGCAAAGCTCATACATTGGTTTGACGGCGAGGTATTAAGGGCAGACTAAAAAATAAAATCCGTCTGCACCTTTAAGATAACCTGCTTAATGTGACCCAGTTTCTTGGGGCATCAATGATCAGGTTTTAGCGGGAGATATTGCCTTAAATCCCTCGACACAGGGACCCTGGGTTTGGAGGAAGGGGCTCGTTAAACCATAGCCAGGGTGTATAAAGTGAATCAGAGGAAGCGGCCGCACAGCTTGCACGTGCTGCCTTTGCTTGTTTAGGGCACTAGGCAAAAAATATTCCATTCCATATGGACCTTGCCTCGTTTTGGACTGACCTTTTAAGATTGACCTTTAAAGCGCCATCTTTGGTTGTGCATTAAAGGCGCTGACACCCAGCGGACGCAGCTTAATTAACGACTGTCTGTATCCCGGGGCGCAGCGGATTAATAGTAACCTTGATTAATCCGTGGACATCTGGGATTAGGATTTCTGTCAGGTCTGTGAAGCACATCGGCAGCTTGACATTGACCCCAAAAAAAGTAGACCGGTACCGGTGATGTAACGGTTGAATTGACGCTGGTGTGACATACAGTCACTCCAGGTATAAGACCGAGTTGTTGTTGTCATATTGATATATTTTTTAAGGAAACACATTTTGTGTTTCGCTTTGTTTCTAAGGATCAGATTGGCGTAGTGGTACTTTCCTCGCCTTCCACCGCTTTGACCCGGGTTCGAATCCCGCCTGGTTGAACATGTCGACTGGGTTTTCAGTCCCTGCCTGATTCCGTTGGTTTTCCCAAGAATATTATCTGGGGTTTTCCTCCCACCTCTAAAACTGTAATTTCTTCTCATTGTCTTCTCTCTACAGGTTTCGTCTGGCTTGCGATCTACAGTGCCTAGGGCGCTTTTGAGAAATCCTTAGTTTCATTACCAGATACCAATAATAAAAATAATGATGATAAGCACCATTAAAACCCTTGAAATCAGTGTTGATCACGATATAACGTGAGCCCAACACCACAAACCAGAACACTATTTTATGTGTCTTTTTTTTCTTTTCTTTTTTGCGGTCTCACTGAAAAAAAAAATCAATAGCAAATCCCTTGCATGTCATAATACATGAATGGCGAATTTCGGAGAAGAAATTAAGGTCACAAATTCGTTTGTTTTTACTGCTCGACCCATGGAGGATGCTGCCTCCATGCTCTACCCAAGGAGGCTTGTCACACCAGTGCCTTCGGGTAGGGCGGTGGTTATTTGCCCGACCGAAAATATAATCGAACTTTGACACCTAACAAGTAGTGCAGCAATTAAACAGAGCGGACACAAATTAAGACCATGGGAATTGATGAAGCCTTGGCCTTATCGTGGCTTTGGCTCTCTTCCGTAAGGGCCGAGCTTCTTATCCACCCCTGGAAACCGCTCGAACATGTGATTCCCCTCGATCTTGCACGAGCTGGCAAAATTCCCAACTCAGTCTCGAACTTGACGTTTCGAACAGGGACAGCCTTTCATCTGGTTGTCAGACCAACGTGGCATGTGGTTTGCATGATAATTTAGCTCTTTGGGTGTGTTCCAAAATGTAGAGCAGACATACTTGTAATCATTCTACTAAAATTAACACAAACACTAAATGACGTAACTGAGGCAAAGATAAACCATCCGAGAGGCTTCGACAAGGCCGCAGTCTCTTTAGAATGTAAGTGCAACAAAATGTATTTTAATTGAATGCAATTATAGACGTTTGAATGGTTGAAAGTACAAAGTGAGCAAAGTGCCCGGATACATTATTGTGAAGTGAATATCTTTAACAGAGAAACAGTTTTAGAGGTCTTAAGCCGACGTTTCGGCCAGTATGCTCGGACAGTCATCAGTCAGTGCAAAGTCACCAACAGAACTATGTAAAAGTAGATGTTCAAAGTGAGTGGGGGAGGGGGAGAGGGTGAGGGTGGTGGAGATGGGGATCTCTTTTCGAAAGGAGTCATGTTAGTCGCCAAAATGTTCATTGGGCATCGAGGCAAAATGAATGAGTTGACTGCAGCATCGATGTAAAAACAGTCGTCAACACCTCTTTAGTTTGATTATTAATATTTTTTTTGGGGGGGGGAGGGGCGTGATCCACATTGGCGCCCCTATAATCCGCCGATGTTGACGGTTAACCTAGATATACATGGTCTACATATCGCAAGAATGAGGGTAAATGGAAGCACTTAAAGTTGATACGTGATTCAAATTACTAACTGTCTGATATGCCAACTTTCAGGATTACTATGTTTGATGACTCCATTGCGTTGAGAGACATGGACACATTATTGGCATTTAGAGCGAAGCGTGGACTTCCTGCCCACGACTCAATCACAATCGCAATAATTTATACCTGATGTCTCATCGCTGGCTGACTGCATGGACCTTCTCTGCCGGTCGAGGGCGCACTCCAGCTCCTCGTTCTTCATGTCCAGCTCGCGCATCTTCCTGCGCATGACCGTTGCCTCTTGCTCCACCAGCATCAGCTGTAGTCGTAGCTCCGCCTCTTTCTCCGTGGATGCCCCGCGACCGTTCTCCGATTTCTTTGATTCGTCTAAGGTTCCGAATCTCATCTTGAACCTGAAAAATGTGACGCCAAACTAGTCTGAAATCCAGTGTGGCAGATTTTTTTTCTATAATGGTTTTGCCCAACGCTGACGTAACACTGTTTCTCACTGTGAGATCGTGAGAAAAAAAAGTGACAAGTTTGCTTTGGTTCGCTCTAGTGTAGTTAATCTCAGATGTTCTCGGACAGCGCTGCGTGTAGTTGTACTTACTTTAGTTTGTGTGTGAAGCACAAAAGCTGATATTAAATGTTATATTTCCCCGAGGAAATCTGTGTCGTAGAGATAACTCTGATTCATTCTCCACGCATGCTCCATGACGTCAACAATTGAAGTTTCATTGTGACGTTGGCACAATGAATATTTCGCTCCGCAATGAAACTAGCGCGAATTCTGAACCGACCTTAAGACAGATGTTCTTCAGCAAGCTTTCGATAGTTAAAACCTAAATGCATATCAGGCAAGCTTCCTGAAGCGTATAACATGGACATGGTCATTCTTATGTACATACCTATGTTGCACTGTAATCGTTTTTGCATTATGTCAGTTCCCTTGCCACAATACAAATGTAATCAACTAGAACTAGGACAAAGGAACAGATGATCTTACAATGCTTCCCTTTTATTCATCGTGATGCCAAACTCTTGGTCGAAGATCAAGTTAAAATTAATTTTGATCCCATAATAATCTCAATCACTCCGATTCAGATCATTGTCAAACAATTTCATGCTCCTAAACTACGATGCCACCAACTGGAGTTCATTCCAACAAGGTCACTTGCATTGCGCCAAAAAGGCCTCCGAGACTTTGATTCGTTCCTTTTGGCTCAGAACCCCCTTGACCCAAATCCTACTCAAATCATTTGAAACTGTTAACACTTGAACCACAAGGTCATTTGAACTAGGCCAAAAAGACCTCTGAGACTTAGATGCGTTCCTTTTGGCCCAGAACCCCCTTGACCCAATTCTACGCAGGTCGTTTGAAACTATTAACACCTGAACCACGAGGCTTGTGATTTTCCTTCCTTCAACGTCATCCAAATTTTACTTCGTGTTGGCCCACATCACTCTGCCCTCTCCTTATCAAATAATTCAACTTCTGCCAAGCATTTACCTCTTAACTTCGTGAGGTAAATTGGCCTCCATCTCCGGAATCACCGGGCTTGTGATTTTCCTTCATGAAACTCCAACCCAATTTTACCCCGTTTGACCCATATCACGTTGCCCTCTCTTATCCCACTTCTGCCACCAATTATACCTCTCAAATACGAATTCCGGCGTTTCCTTCTCCTGAAACTGTGTACCAGAATCACGAGGCTTTTGCTTTTGCTTCCTTAAGCTGCAACACAAGTTTACCCAGTTTGACCCACATCCCTTTGCCCTACATCCCTTTGCCCTCTCTTAATCAAATAATCCCACTTCTGTTGCTATCCAATTCGATGTCCAGCGCTTTCTTCTCCCGAAACTGTGTACCTGAATCCCCAGGTTTATTATCTTTCCTTTCTTAAGCTTCAACCAAATTTTGCCCAGTCAGACCCATATCACTTTGCCCTCTCCTAATCAAACAATCCCACTTCTGCCACTATCTACCTCTCCAATTCGAAGTCCAGCGCTTCCTTCTCCTGTTCCACCAGGGCCAGGTTCTTCCGTATGGCGTTAGCCTCCTCCTCCACCAGTTGCAGCTGGTGCTGGAGGTCACGCTCCCGCTCCATGGACTCCTGCAAGTCGCTGAGCAGCGCCGCCACGTCGACCTCGGAGTCTGAGTCCGAGGACGTCGAGGCACGGAGGACCTCGATCTACGGTGGGAAAGAGTTGTGGATATCATTGTTACATGATAATGGCATGAGGTCATTTGAGAACATCGGCACACTGACCTTTCTCAAACTCTATAAAAACAAGAAACTGAGGCCGTTGACATACACGAATTGAAAATACCAAAACAGAGCCCACTTTGATTGACGTTTGACCCCTTCTTAAAGTTCCTCAAGAACCAAACGAAATCAAAAGTGATTTCTACGTCGGTAGCTATTATCATCAGTGACTAAATCGTTGAAAGAGTCTATTTTGAAAGAAATCGAAGTCCTTTTTGAAAGGGAACACACTCGACCATTTTCAAATTAATTTTTTACAAGTAGGCCTACTGTGCACTTTTTCGTTCCCCCTATAGTACAGTGTTGGAACATCTGAGTACGATATGGAGAGATTATGACCCTTCTGAGATTGTTTGCCAAAAAAATACCTTATTCTTAACAAACCTTCGTCTGGAGTTTCTTAGAAGTTTCTTCATCTCCGGATTTCTTTAATTTGCGCCGAATGACGTCGACCTAACGAAAATACAAAGTAACTTTTGAAATAATGAAACAAAGTATCCTTCGACGTCGGACTTACAAGTGCAACAAAAGAAAACAAAAAGCTTGTACATATATAGTCTGGAAACAATCTTTGAAAGTAAAGTAATTTAGTGCGAAAAGATATTTATTGTCAAAACAAAAAGGTAGAAGAGAGAAACAGAAAAATGCCTCGCAACTTAGGGCCAGGGAAAGCAAAGTAATATATTTTTGGCGAAAAGTGTACATCAGTATATAGGAAACATGAAAGTGATATGCGCAACACGAATGTACGCGTGGAACTTAGATAGCCATTGGTGTGTTTTTCAAAAGGTATTTACTTCGTAGTGTTATTGTAAATTATTCCCAACAGCATTACTTGACAAAATCCATGACTGGGGCTATCACAATGAATTGATTTCGTTTGTTTCTGTTTTGCAATGAAAATTGTCTTGAAGTCATGATGCCAAAGTTGTTAATGTTTTCTCATGTAAAGCAATTTGATCAGTGACATATTCGGAGAAAAGTACATCCAACTGTGATGTATCAGCACATTTGCAAGAACCTAATTCAACCATAGAGCTAGGATTCAACATCAGAGTACAATATGGACAACGACCCTGTCAGAGACCTAAGCCATACGGAACGGGACAAGTCAATTATCACAACTCCCAAAGGAAATGGCAGTAAAATGTCACATGTGGTAAGAAATTATCTGGGGGGAAAAAGGAATATGAGACAGTTTTGTTCAAGAGGAAATTCTGGTTGAAATTAAAGACACCCGTGCGATGAAAGATTTGGATAATTTGAGGGATTTTTTTTTTGTTCAAAGAGACCTTGGGAATAGGAAGTGCAATATTTGATCCAGAAATGAGGAGTGATGATTGGTCCAGTCTGTGTCACGTGACCAAAGGTTGTCAGAGTGCATTTTGCGAGGAAGGAAACGTGTGACCATATGTATTAATGTGCGATTTGATATTAAAGGCCATCTATTAAGTAGAGTAGCTTGCAAGGCGAGTCTTGGAATTGGTACCAAAAGGAAACAGATTGAGAATCCCAGTGCATAGTGCATAGCAAGACCAGCACGAGTATTCTGGGTGCTAGACCAAACAAAGATTAAAAGGGCGCCCTCACAAGAACTATGAGGAGTAGGCCATTTCTCAAACCTCGGCTTTTATCTGCGGCCTGCCTGCAGGTACGTCTGCGATTCGTCTTTTTCACACGATGTCGTAGCCTGGTTCTCAGACCTGACAATTATTCCCGACGCTCACGTCTAAATTGTAGGCCTACAGTCAGAATCTTTTGGTCTGGGAACCAGACTAGGTGGATCGTGGCAAGCTTAATCATAGCATTGAGACGCAACGAATTTGAAACAGCTTCCACAAATGGTGTTGGGCCAGAGACGAGGCCGAGGTTTCACAAATGGCTCCAATAAGACTGACAACGTGCGTGCACAAAGAAAGTGCAAGAGAATAAGACTTCTGGTTGTTTTTAATTGTGGCGTAGTTGCTGCCATGAAGCTTCGTTCTAGAAAGGCAGTTTCCGCTTGACCATATAAGTTGCAAGAAAGATGTAGTCTGGTAACGATGATGTCAACACAGGAACGATCATCTTGGCAAGATGTCCATGTGTCAAAAGAACAAGACTAAAAGGCTGTATACCGTGTGACAGCTTAGGGGGCAACTATTAGCCCTTTTGGAGACAAGGTGGACACAATGTGAGGGCGCTGTTTGGAGGGTGTAAACTCTTTGCATTTACAGAGATTAAGCCACTCCAATTGCTACCATCCTATGGTGCCAAAGCTATCTCAAAAGGGCAATGAAGAAAGTTTGGGTGTTATAATCTAGTCGAAAGGAAGTCGAACAACTTAGCGTTCGTGCCGCTTGAGTGCATGCTAACACTTTTACCGAGAATCGACACACAGATTTGTTCGACAATTTTTTTTTCTAAGTCGAACACCCGAACCCTCTTCACACATGCAGAAAAAAAAATTGATTTCGCCACATAAACTACAAAGAAAAGACGACTTTGTCACAGCTACAAACGAAATACACCAAAAAATCAATGAAAGTAATGGGTTAGTACTTACTTCGCTCCTATGAAGCTGCATGCATGCAAACGGGGGGAAATAATTATATCAAAGTAAATTAAGCTTTTTATATCACACTGGCTACGAATTGATAAAAACCGTAAATCTATACTCCAGGCCCAATGCCTTTCATATGGAAATCAACATCAATCAGAATCTTGCAATCGCACAAAAGGTATGCGCAAATGATATTAATATTCCAACTGATAACAATCTGCTCTGGATGTGCCTGAAGGTTAGAAATTTAATTAACTTTTGGTTCTACGTGGTCATTATCAGCAGCTGGTGAATTGGGAACTCCCAGAGTCTTATCGCAAATTTCTCAAAGGTAACGCCGACTGCATTACATGCATGTCAAAAGAAATTATCAATGATGCTGGAGTTTAATGTGCAGATTAGGGTATTTAATGCCATTACTGTTGGAGATCAAAGTAATTACTGGATGCTTATTTGTCAAAAAATGCACCTGGGTTGTGTGCACATTTATGTTTTCGAAAGAACATTTGCATATTTTGTGGCTATTGTTCTTGTGTCAGTGGAACATAGTCGATTGTTGCAACTTTCAGCAGTGTTGTATTCGAGTCTCTGCAAGTCCATCACAAGTCCTTCAGTCTCAAGTCAAGTCACTAGCTATTCAATTGAACCGTAACAAAACCATTTCTTTGTCACTGTTCATCCAGTTACTTGTGACTGGCTTTATGAAAGGACTTGTGAAAGGACTTATGATTGTAGCATTTTTGTTTCAAACTTCTTGAATATCGCTTTTGGACTAATGCGATCCGTACATTTTGTGTGTTCTTATTTCAAAATGTGCGTCTTTTATATATGATTCTGTTTGCATTTTTGGTTTCTTTGCGGACTTGTTAGTCCTTTTTTTAAGTTATAGGTTGATATGTTTGATGGGATGGGTGGGTGGGTTTCTGTACAAATATAAAGCAGTGATAAGCCATTGTTACTTGTTCTGATTCACTGGGATATCTAGGCCAACCATTTTAATCCATTCTACGGGGAATGCCATCACTGGCTTCATCTCCTTTTGTGTCTCTAGTGGCGCCCCAGCCCAATGACATGTTTCCGGACTAACACCTTGAGTCATGTATAGAAGAATGGAGGCGGGAGCCCTGTCTAAAGTAACAAAGTCATCGATTAATGTTCTGTCTCTATCTCTGGAACATGACGACGACTGTTTCACGTACCAGATCTTTGAAAATGTACGTATCGATTAAGGCAACGAAGACATCGATTTACCCTATCTCCCTAGGGGGTGTACAAAATCGTATTAAAATTGGAGGATTCAGGACTGTTAGGGCTATGGTTTCCTCTTATTTTCTGGTGCATGAAGACGACTGCTTCATTATCAGAGCAGTTGAAAGTTTCATTCAGTTTGAAATTACAAAAAGAAAATCGCTCGTGTGTTTCTCAACAGATGGGAACGGTTTTATATGGTGTTTTAACAACACCAAACACTAAAACACCATCCTTTGTTCTTGGCGTCAGTTGTGAGTATGAACAAAGGAACTCGAATGTCTCCATTCCAAGCAGTTTCCACAAGAAGTAGGAAGTTGTGTTTACGGGCACGATGCAAAATACAATGATACTTAGTATTAGGAAACTAAACTTAAATCGGAGCAAAAAGAGGGCTGATTTTGTCGACGTCCATACGCGCAATTTAATTGTGTGATTAATCAAATTGCCTAATTCGTTGGAGGTCCTAACAAGTAACATGTCTGCTCACACAGGATCGAATATCTCACATTTGAAGTTCTAGACTATCGTTGCATACAGCGATAAGTGCTCCAGGGATGGGCTGGTACAAGTAATGGCAGTAATTCTAACCGATAATGTAATCAGGCACCGCCGCCAATGTAATAGACACAACGATAATTCAATCATGTTACACGTAATGCAATGAAAGAATATATGCTAGTGCTGAGTCAATTCGAATAATTCAATATTCGAATATTCATTCAAACAAACTATTGAAAAACTCGATGGTACCGGAAGCAGGATTATAGCTTAACAAAGAAATATCCATATGTTTTTGAAAAAAAAAACAGTACAAATTTTAATATTTATATTTACCTTTAGGGCTTTTGTAGAATTGTTTATCTTGATTATTTTCATATCTACCCTTTTGTGCAAAAATCGTGCGTTTACTTTATTTACTAATTAGATTGTAAACACCTTGGCACTTCTTCTCACGTCTAATCTTTTACGATAGTCTCATCTTTAAAGATGGCGGACGCTACTTGTCAAAATAAAATGACATCCTGCCTTTATCATAGAACATTAGCAAAGCAACTTGTAACAGCTGTTGAAATTATCTTCAAAGATAAAATTAACTTCCATCACCGGTTCTGATTTGAATCACATCCGAGGCCAGATATTTTATTTCTATTCTCGTTGACAAAAAAATAAGGCATATCCTAACTAAATATAGCCGGTACCGTGTTACAAATATTTTGAAAGCATGTTTAATGTTGACAGAAACTTGTTTGGTGGGTAAATTTAAATTTAACATGCAACAGCCGTTGTGCACCATTTCCTGCTGATGGATGCCATCAGATGGACAGACTCAAGAGACAGTGCAGTAACCTCATTCCCAGGAGCGCCCAACATCGACGTGTCAATCAAAATTGCAGCATACGGTGTTTCTTTCGACATGTTGCGACCCCTGGATTCATATTAAATTCTTTTGGGATTTGAGCACTTTTGGCAACTTTCATCATGCTTAGACCTATATCAGTTTTTAAATGATTCAATATTTCGGGTGTGTGCAACTCAAGACATTCAAGAATATTGCTGTAACGTAACTTCACACATGCATGTATTGATATCATATGAATCTTATTATACTGTATAATAATTATATACAGTGTGTATTTCGAAATGTTGTGAATCATGGATACATATTTAACTCTGGCAACTCTAATTATTTCATCAGTCTTTCGATGATTCACTTTTTTCCCGAGAGTGTGCAATTTCAGACATACAAGAATATCGCTATAAATAATGTTAATTGCCGGTTATCCGCTGTTGGCATGGAGGATATAAAATAACATAATTTCACACGTGCATGCATTGATATCATGTTCTTATACTGTCGTGAATACGGTGTCTATTTTCGACATGTTGCGAAACCTGGATACATATTAAAGTCATGTTTAACTCTGGCAACTCTTAGTATTTTTATCAGTTTATCGATGATTCAATTTTCCCGAGGGTGTGCAATTGAAGCCATTGATGAATATCGCTATATTACATTGCTTCACACATGCATGTATCGATATCAGTTTATCTATACAATACTGTAACAAAGAGTATACCGTGATGATTACTACATGTATAAGGTGTCTCTTTCGTCATGCTGCGAACCCTAGATTCACATCAAACTCTACTGAGCACATTTTAAAACTCTAGTAATATCGGGTTTACGATGATTCAATTTCCAGGGGTGTGCAATAGAATATGGCCATATTACATTACTTCACATATGCACGCATCATTATCAGTTAATATCATATACATTCTTGACATCACCAGTAGATTGGGATTCGCACAATCCAACAATCCAAGTATAAGTTACAATTTCTTCAGTCACATTTAGGCTCATTTTTACATAAATTTTCACTTTACATGAATCTTTATTTTACGTAAAGGTTTCACGTAAATGATTTTTGAATTAATAATTATTATTGAAAAAAAATAATTCACGATTCAAAAACGGCTTTCTGACAGATAGTGGCCAAAGGGTGAGGTTTTCTCATATTGTTCCCATTTACTCAATGGTGAGAGAATTAGGATAAGTGTCTCACACTTTGACTTCCACTCCCAAAAACCGTAAACCACAATACATGTACGCCAAACCAGGCACAACACATGCATGATACATTAGAAGCAAACCAACATACATCTACATCAACAGTATGACTATTATAAACATTGGTTGGAAGTTTTAAAATGTTAATATCATCATTGCTATCTCTAATGTATTGAGAAATGTCAAAAACCCGACGAAATCGAAAGGAATCCCCCTCGCAAAAATTGTCGCCGAAAAGCTCCTGAGGGATACTTTAAAATTAATATTGCGGTTACATGCAGACGGCGGTAAACTGGCGCCTATACAGGGCACTGCCTCCACCTGTCCACTTACGTGCTATCATTTATCGCCATCCAACAGTTACATAGGAAGGAAGGATTACCCCAGGCAAGTGTGTGTGGTTTGGAACTGCCAAGTGCAAAAAGGGGACAGATGTGGTTTTTCCTTCAGTCGAATTCTTTTGGAGTTTACATAAAGGGGGATAGTCAAAGGAAGAGGAGAGGGGCAGAAGGTGCAATCCTTTAACAATTCGTGATGAACTTAGATTTAGATTATTGTTGCTTTCCCCATGCCCGTACAGTGATCGTTGATTGTGGTTGCGCCTGTTCTTCGTCACTGGATCCGGGACTGTTTCTTACATCATCTTTACTCAACAACTGTGATCAGAGGGAGTAAGGGTATATGGGTGTCGAGGTACCGCTTGCGATTCAATTTACAAGGGGCGCACTGTAACAGCTGTCCAGCAAGGGCCAATGAATCAGAACTTCCGGTTTTTCAGATGAGGTATCAACATTTGGTGAACTCTCGTTTAATACAGACTCAGCCGAACCTACTACCTAGCCAAAATGTTTGTTATATCAGAATGTTGTACTAAGAGGAACGTCGGTCCCATTCATTGTGCACATAAACACAGTTGGGACCAACGCTTTCTGTTTGTTATAACCAGAATTTGTATTAACAGTGTTTGTATTAACGAGAGTCGATGTATAACTTCGATTTGTACTGTTTTTTATTAATAGAATGCAACTGAACCAAAGTTGGTGTCGGTATATCTCCACCAACAATTTCTATAGGACTCCATCAATGCCATCATAAGGTCCGGACCCTGAAAGGCAAAATACTTGAAAGTCAATAATTCGATACAAATTATATAATGCTTAAATAAGCACCATCTACTTCTACTTGAGAGAGTTGGGGATAC